CAACACAATTCATTTATTTTATGTGGACATACACCGATCAGGCATACCATTATGACCGTTTTATCAGCTCCACTTACTATATAGGTGCACTTTGTAGTTCTACAGTTACAGACTGTAGTCCATCTGTTTCTCTGCATACTTTGTTAGCCCCCTTTTACCCTGTTCTTCAGTGGTCAGGACCCCATGGACACATTCTCAGCACTGCAGTAACACTGATGTGGTGGTGGTGTGTGTTGTGCTGGTATGAGTGGATCAGACACAGCAGTGCTGCTGGAGTTTTTAAACACCTCAGTGTCACTGCTGGACTGAGAATAGTCCACCAACCAAAATATCCAGCCAACAGCGTCCTGTGGTCAGCGTCCTGTGACCACTGATGAAGGACTAGAGGATGACCAACACAAACTGTGCAGCAGCAGATGAGCTATCGTCTCTGACTTTACATCTACAAGGTGGACTGACAAGGTGGGAGTGTCTAATAGAGTGGACAGTGCACCACAAAGTGCACCTATATAATAAGTGGAGCTGATAAAATGGACAATGAGCATAGAAATGTGGAGGTGGTCATAATGTTATGCCTGATCGGTGTATTTTCTGTTTGTAGGTACAACAACTCTGTTAGTTCATTTTTTGGGTGTATAGTTAAAGAGGCTGTTTTTTGTTACTGTGCCTTTAAGACTGGTGTATGTAAATGAGCTCTGTTCTGATCGGCTGTCCTGTATTGCACCGCATTCAGAAAGCAGTCCAGGTTGAAACACTCTTTATAAATTCAGTGTAAGTGGGCAGAGCTAAACTGCTAAAGGCTGAATAGGCAGATATGTGCAAAGGCAATGGTTTATGTGACATCACAAAAACAGGGAATTCTAAAGAGGCTGTTTTTGAAGCTTAGTTTCAATATGTGGACAGTATGGACTGGGGAGAGAACAGTTCTGAAACCTTAACAATGTTTACATAAATAAAACATATAAAATAAAACATATCAAATGAGCCTTTACTTTTGCACAGGCCACATTTTACTTCTTTTTTTCCCCAGTATGTTCAATTCAGCAAATACACAGCACTTGTATCATGACCGGGGAGCCCAAACTTTTGCATATGACTGTATACATGAGACAAAATGTATTATCAAAATAAAAGTGTATTTATATGTTTTTAAATAATTGTAACACAGGACATAAAATCATTTTAATATATTTTTACCATTTAAACTGCATAGAGAGATAATGTCACTTACTAAAATCACTTAAAACAAGTAAAGAAGTCTAGAATTAAGTAAGAAATATTGATATATTGACTAGATGCAAGAAAATTCACTTAACAAGAAACCACTATTTGCAGTATAAACCTCTCATTACAAAGACGAAATGACCATTTGAGAGGTCAGTGGTGTAAAAACTATCTGCACTGGTCTGCAGAAAAAAGTGACCATGTTCTCCACAACTGGCAGAGTGCATGTGCAGCACCGGTAGCTCTGTTTTGCTGTGGGGACCATTTTGATGGACAACACCAACTGAGAGAACATCTTTTGAGAGCAGAAAGGTGTTCCATCCCTCCAGTACAGTCCCAGAGACTTGCAGTATAAATGCCGAGACACACTGAAGCTGTTCTGGTGGCTCATGGAGGCCGAACTCACTTTACTAAGACACGTTATACTAGTTTTTCCTTTAACTTGTCACTGATATGCATGTAGTTATTAAGCCAATGATTTTAGTAGCAAATGCAATCACTACATTAGCACTGCACAGTCCTGCTATGCCACCTTCATAAAAGGCCTCAGTTTCATTATCCAATTATATTCTCGATCTGCACCCACACCACCATGACCTGCATTAAAGCCTCCATCTCTCTAATCACGTCTAAACAGTTTCTCTAAATCAGGCCCAATTTGTGTGAAATGGTCCATTCCCTAAGAAAAAGAGCCCATTTTGTACATGAAGCCCTGCTGAAGCTTTTTTGTGGTACCAGCTAAATGAACCTTCAGGAGTCTGCCTGGAGACCTGATTGAGCTCATTTTAAAATCAGCCATTGCCTGCATTTACATGCCTGTCGAAGGCTCTGGACAAAGACCAATCAGGGAAACCACACGACTCATTAACTGTGAGAGCAGCAGTAGAGTTATGAACATGGATATTTATAATTTTGTAGAAGGGGAGGGCACCTTTAAAGACACCTTCTGATGAACCTGAGGAATGTCTAAAATTACAGTACAGATATTTCACAGAAATCTCACACCACTGCAGATATACACACGTTCACATCTCTATCTATATCCCTCTCTCCCACACGCCTGCTGCTTATACGCCCATCCGTCCAGATCATTACTCAGGAGTGAAGGACGAGATTAAATGGAGCTAAATGGAACAAATATTGCCGAGTACACACCACAAGAAAACACATGGTCAATTAGAATTATTTATGATTAGAAAACTAACCACACACATGCAGCTGGATGCAAAAGTTTTGGCGCCTCGGTCAATTGGCGTTTTGTTAATTCTCTAAGTGTTAATAAGCTTTACTACGAAAGCGTGACTTGTCTTGCTGTGCAAATCTTTTGCATACCACTGTATAGGCCACCACATGGTTCACCTTTTATGAAGGTCGGTTTCAAGGGGATACTGTAAAGGAGAAAAGTCTAAATCATGTTATTATTTTAAAATGTTTTGTTGAAGTTACTATTCCGTATTTATTTATGTATCTTTTTATTAATTAATTTATTTATTTATTTCTCTATATCATGGAAAAACAAATGTCCCTTATTTTTTTTTAAATGAAAGAGTTTGATTTTATTGGTTTCTGTGTTATCATCGCACATCTTGTTTTCTGTTTAGTATTTAAAAAAAATTCAAATAGGCTGTTTTTGCAGTGTATTTTGTAGATATGGACTGTATTGGAGTGAACTGTTTTTGTGATGCCACAAAAACCAAAACATTTACCTATTTCCATATATTCAGCCAACCTTAGTTTAGCCCTGCCCACTCACACTGAAGTCATAAGGAGTGTGTCAGTCTGGACTGCTTGTTTAATGAGGCACAATGCAGAGCAGCCAATCAGAGCAGAGCTATCTGTCTTAAATGCACAGCAACAAAAATCAGGCTGTTAAATTCTAAGGGACACAGAGAGCTCTTGTAAAAATACCTTATGTATGTTTTGGGCACAGAAACCCCAACAAACTTCATTGGTGGACTTCAGGAGAAAAATCCACATACAAGAAAAATGTACAATGTGGGTCCTTTAGGTTTGACACATCTTGTACAGTTTTGTTTGCCCAGAGCTCCCCCTACTGGACTGGATGCGTATCATAATTGTAAATAGATAGCTACCCTTAGAATACTTAGTGTTGTCTCTTTTACACCTAAACATTAATTGTATTGGTGGAGATGGATTGACGTTTAGCCTCAGTGAGTTTTAATGTTAGCAGCAGCACAGATGCCACAGTTTTTGCACTCCACATTCCTACATGAAGTGTATGAAGTGTGAAATATCTGGGATCCCTGCTGGGGTTAATGATCTCTCTCACTGCTCATCTGCCTACAGTCAATAATTCTCTGACTAAAATATTTAAACTAAAAAATGAGATTCTTTCTTCTATTTTTTCTGAACTAAACTAATATAAGTTGTGATCATAACTTTTGAGTTAAATTTAAACAACATATATTTCACAAAGTAGAAGACAGAGAACTAAAACCAAAAATATTTCAGATTTTTCTGTAATGAACTTCGCTGAAAGGTTCAGATGATGAGCTCCGCGTCAGTGATTAAGAGACCGTCTAAAAAGTGCACACAGCGGACTACTCCGTTCATTTAATTGAAACATGGATTACCAAAGACCACCTATATGAATGACTACTATAATTTTACTATCTTTCATCTTTCATCTTATCATCACTTTCTGTCTTCTCTACCTTTTGATATATATATATATATATATATATATATATATATATATATATATATATATATATATATATATATATATATATATATGAGGTTTTCTTCTGACAACAGCAATATCTATATATATATAGCCTCACATCTCTAAAATGGTAACTTTACAAGAGAAGGTAAAAACACACTGTACTTTTAAAGTCAAAGGAACCAGACTTTTTTCCAACTCATTTTGGGCCGTTTCTTTTGGTCCATCCATCATGAAATTTACACACAATATAAATGTCAGAAAAATGAAAAATAATAGCAGCGATATATATATATATATATATATATATATATATATATATATATATATATATATATATATATATATATATATATATATGTTGTCTGAGACATTGTTTTATAATAGTTTTAAGAAACCCTGTTGTTTTAAAATCCAGAGATATGCAAGGCAAAACAGTCCTCAATAAAAACTAAAAACATTTTTTCATATTTATCACTATTTTACCATTATCAACATCACATATACAAACTCAGGAGACATGTGTAGGCTCACTGCTGGTTTCTGATAGTAAACAAAATGGCTATATTTGTGTTGTAGTCATGCTGACATGCTGGTTTTTCTACAGTGAACCATTTCACCTCAAACCACTCCGAATGACTTTACATCTCGACCAGTGAAGTAAGCAGAAAGTTTGAAAAATGTGTGGCATTCCCCTTAAAAAAATGCACTTTCAGACGGTCCCTTAATCACTGCGTTTCTCAATCGCTCTCTTCAGAGAAATTAAACCAAGACGTTTGTGAAACACATTGGTTTTTGCTTCCTCTGAGTGAAGAAAACGTCTGGACAGTTGTGTTTGGACAAAAAGCATAAGACTGAAGTGTCAAACAAATGTTTGTCTACTTCAGAATGGAAGACTTAGATTCAAATCACACAAATAAATTAATAAATAAATACACACACACACACACACACACACACACACACACACACACACACACCCCTCGTGGAAAATGAACATGCTCCATGTTTACGTTCCCCGGAGCCACACCTACAGACAAGACACACTACGTGAATGTCGTTCCTCAGACTTGGGCAGGACTGGACTGGCCTGTGGGTTTGGCCTCGGAAACGAGGCGGCGCTTTAATTCATACGACACATGAAACTAAACTTGCGGCTTTGGAGGTCCACAGTCGGACAGCGGGTTCGTTGTTAAGCAGTTGGTCGTGTTTGTCAGGAGTTGCGCTGAGCGGCGTGGACTGACCGTGAACCTCACAACTTTAAGGAGGTCTCAGAGCTTCGAGAAGACGCTGCGCTGCGCTGCGCTGCGTGCTGAGCGTTTGTGAGCCGCTCTTGTGGGAACAGACCATGTGCAGCCAGGAGTCACCTTAAGGTAACTGACTGCCGCTGACCAAACAGCATTTCTCACCTGCTTTGGTTGAAGCTCAGGATGTGTTTGAGTGCTGAATATTAACTTAAGTCAGCGCGGCTGTGAATGGCCTCACTCGCCGGCTTCTTATTCGAACTTATCCGTTCCACCTTAAATGTTCATTCTAGAGCTCGGAGGCGCCTGATTGTAACTGCTTCGCTGTTTAAGGTGGAACGGAGAATTGGAAAGTAGCCTCGTAAAGCTTTGTTTTTGGGTAGAATTAGCTGTAAAAGTGATCTGTATGTCCATGAAGTGTTTTTTGACTATGACGTTTTCATTCGGTGCCAAATTATTATTTATAATTTGAAAAGAAATCATAAATAGAAGGGCAGACTGAGTACAACTGTAATATTTTTATGTTTCTTGCCTCACCATATGTACAGAAATCAGATGGCTTCCATCCCCAGTTTTTTACTGGGGATGGAAGCCATCTGATTTCTGTACATATGTTTCTTTAATCTGCCTGTAAGCAAATTCAATGTCGGTGTATATAGATAGTTCACATTTTGTACAGTAAGTGAGTAAAGGCAGGGGCAGTGGTCACAGTGGCATGGGACAGTGGTCACACTCATTTGTGATACTGTAAATTGAGCTATAGCATAATAATAACAGAAGCATCATTCATGTGCAGTACAGACACTTGAAGCCTGTTACAGCTCCCCTGTTGTAACTGTACTAGGTCTGCTTACACATAGCATGAAGAAGACTGTAAGGGCGAAAAACAGCAAATCTCTCTTTTAAAACTGCAGATCTGTCAAGTGAAGTGCTCCATCAAATCCAAGCCATCCTGACATACATAGTCATTCCCCTCGTAATCCCCCTGGGCCACTGACTCATTTTCTAGTTAACCTATTTACAGAAATATGCCTGAAATCACACAGTGTTGCTTGAAAATCCCTCTGCTCACTGTGCCGTCTTTTTCTTTATTTCCCCCAGACTTTCCTCGACCTTCCTCTCCATTCTTAAGCTTCCTAGCTCTCTCTGCCTCTCTTTTTCTCACTCGCTCTTTTTCTCAGAACAAACAATCATGCGTCGGTTCAGTTCGGAGGGATCCCTGTTGGACCTGGACTTCCTGCCCTGGAAGAAAGTGGCTTTGAAGGATGAGAACCACAAAAAAGAGGAGAAAACGGGCACGTACAGGCAGGCCTCGCTCCAGGAGGACGAAGTAGACAGGGGAGCCGTGTCCCTGCCTTCAACACCTGCTCCCCGTGAGACGAAGAAGGAACTCACTAAAGAGCACAGCATTAGTGTGGAGAATCTATCTGACCTGGACAAGTCCTCGGGGTTCCTCAGGGTAACTGGCCTCAACGAAAGCTTCAAAGCCTACAGCGACAGCCAGCTGGCCCCGGATACCATCGGCAGCGTTGAAAGTGTGGAGAAGGAGGACATCCCGCCTCCGTGTCCATCAGCCTCATCCAGCCCCTTCAACCAGGAGCACCACCACCATCGAATACAAGTCAGGGCCAAGTTATCGGCAGCAAAACTGCATCTGAAGAGTCTGTTTGGACAGGTAAAGTGAAACTTCTTGCAGCAGAAGGATGAGTGATATGATTTTGGATATATATTATTGATGATAAAAGTAGTATTCCTGACTATGTGTTATTTGAGGCAGGAAAAGTAAGAGAGGGTAACAAAACAAAAAAAAATGTAATTAAGACAGTTGGTTGGAATATAGAAGTATTGTGCAGTCTTAAAAAAGGGGTTCGGTCCTTGTAGAATGACGTTTGCTCCTCTAAAAACATCTCACAAAAGAGATTTGTGATTACCAGTTCAGTAAGGATGTAACAGTATATCGCATTGTATCGCATTAAATCCTGTCGTATTGCAGCTTACCATTGCAGTGTATAGTATTGTATCGTCTTATATCAAATACTATCACAGTGTATCATATTATATATAATTGTATTATTGTATATCGCAGGATATCGTGTTATATCGTGTGGTTTTGCAACATATCGTATTGTATTACATCATATCATATTGTCATATTACAACATTTCATATTGCAGAATATCATATATTGCGGTGTAACATAATGTATTGCTGTGTATTGTAATGTGTTGCAAAATATATCATATTGCAGCAAATCGTGATGTATTGTAATGTATTGCAGGCTAATGTATCGTATTGCGTTGGAGCGCATCATATTGTATTTTAGCATATTGTATTGCATCAGAGCGTATCGTATAGCGTCGTAGCGTATCTCATTGCGTCACAGCATATCATATTGCAACGTAGTATATCGTATTGTATTTTAGCATTTTGTATTGCATCGCAGTATATGGTATTGCGTTGAAGCGTATGGGTTTGCGTCGCAGCGTATCGTATTGCGTCGCAGCATATCATATTGCATTGTAGCATATTGTATTGCAACATAGCGTATCATATTACGTCACAGCGTATGGTATTGCGTTGCAGCATATGGTATTGCATTGTAGCATATTGTATTGCAACATAGCGTATCATATTACGTCGCAGCATATGGTATTGCATCGCAGCGCATCGTATTGTGTCGCAGCGTATCGTATTGTGTCGCAGCGTATCGTATTGTGTCGCAGCTTATTGTATTGCGTCGCAGCATATCGTATTGCATTGTAGCATATTATATTGCGATGTAGCATATTGTGTTGCATAGGACGGTATCACATTGCGTCAGAACGTTACGTAATGTGTTGGAGCGTATTATATTGTATCAGAGTGTATTGCCTTGCATTGGAGCATATTGTATTGTATTATATTGGAGTGTATCGTACTGTATCATATTGTGGTGTATTGTTGTATCATGACTAGCATGTTAGCTTTTGGCTATTAGCTAGTTGCCTGAGTGTTAGATTGAAGCACTGTAAAGCACTTTATTATATTTAATTATCACATAAATATATAAACTCAAGGCACATTTTCAGCCACTTACTATTTTTACTGAATTGAAAAATGTTTCAAATCGAGACGCCACTGTAATGTAACGTATTCTGATTTTTGTATATTGTTACATTCCTGATTTTAAATGTTTAAAGAACCTTCAAAAAATGTAATGGTTCTGTATCAGTTTAAGAGTTTTTCCAGAACCTTTATGTGGAGGTTCTTTAAACTTTAAAGGGTTCTTCACACAGATCTCATTTCCAAAAATGGTTGGTTCCATTGAAAGGTTTTTTGGGGGACCCAAAGTGGCACTTCTATGACATCACATAATCCTCTTTGCCGTCTGTATTTTTAAGAGTGTGGTTGTCTCTGATTATATAGAGTTGAGTGTTTCCAGGCTTTTACCTTATTTAACACAAATAAGGGTGTTTCCGTTCTTTTATTAGTCTCTAGCAGATCTTTAGAAGTTCCTGTTTGTTTAGATTTCTGTACAGTGTGTACTCATTCTCAGGTGTTCATGTTAAGGTTGTTGTTAGGATAGTCATTACACATTGCCTGAGGTAAGTGTAAACATGTGATGTAACTGGTGGAGGTGTGATTATTTAGTCTCTGTAGAGTTGCGTTTGTATCAGCTACTTTTCCTGCTCACATCATTTGCCTCTTCTGGTGTTCACATTAAAAGTAAAGAGTGAGTACAAAAAGTAAAGAGTTGTTTTGGAGCGATGCCACAGAACAGCGCTGCCCAAAGTGTGGCCCACGGGCCAAATTTGACCTGTGAGGAATTTGATTTGACCTGCCAGAAAGTTAATCAAGCACTATCCCTTTACCCAAACAAATTTAAATACTGTATATAAATTAAAACAAACATTTTTTATATTATATATATATATAACTTGAATTTATATTTAATATATATTTATATTTAATTATATAAATTAATTTCTCAATTTCCTTTCTAATTTGTATTTTTGGTGTATTTTAGTTACAAAATATAGTGTAAAAATATCTGTTTAAAAAACTTGATTTTCTTTATTTATGTATTGTTTTGTTTTTTGCCCCTCAACCCACCACAAACACCCCCAGGTTGACAAAAAGTTTAGGCACTCCTGCCATAGAATAACCATTCAGTAGTGGATGGTTTTTAAAGGAATATTTCAGCAATTTTTTAAGTCAATGTCCTACATCTTTAACATGTGGTCACTTATCACAGTGAGTAATTAAGATGCTTTTCCTTGTACTTAACAACAGAACAGGAAGTGTCTATGATTCAAAGCATGCTATAATAGCAGCTAGTGGACAGTTGTGCCCATGAGCTTCTATTATAAGTGAGTTTTGAGTAAAGAGCTGTTTTTTTTACTAAGCACAGGAAACAATGTGTAAATTATTATCTGTGTAATGTGACTGCAGACTCGGATGCAGCAAATATAGTTTGAAGAGCCCGTATCATACATTTTTCTACATCTTATGTCCTTCCCTGAGGTCCATTTATGACATTTGTGTTGTTTTCTGTAGCAAAAACTGCCCTATTTCATTTTTACATGACCATTTTCCAGCCTCACTTGACCCCTTAAAGGGCCCATATCATGGAAAACCAAATTTCACTCACTTCTTTGAAATGAAGGAGTCTGAAGTCATGTGTGTAAGTGTTTCAAAATGTGCCATTCACATCTCAGTCCATACAGTCCATATATGGACACTATGCAGCCAAAACAGCCTGTTTTGTATTAACTGAATTCATTCAATCAGAACAGAGCTCATTTATCTTGTATCAGTCTTAAAGGCACGGTAAGAAAAACAGCCTGTATTATATTAAGGCATGAAGAGAGGATGGAAAGTGGTCATGTAAAATGAATTATGGCCATTTTTGGTATGTAAAAACACACAAATGTCATAAGTGGAACTCAAGGGGAAAAAAACAAGAAAGAGGTTAGATAAGTAAGATATAGATAAACAGGCTGTTTTTGTTACTGTGCCTTTAAGACTTATATATTGCTGCTGTCATTTTTCAGTTTTTGACATAATTTGAAAATACCTTTTGATCTTTACATTGTGTGTAAATTTCACAATGAATGGACCAAAACAAATGGCACAAAATTACTTGGAGAAAACTCTGGTTCCATTGACTTACATTGAAAGTAAGGTATGTTTTTTCCTTCTCCTGTAAAGTTAACATTTTGGAGATGCGAGGCTTTGATCCGACAACAGCTCTAATCTAACTGACTGTGCCTCATTCAAAAAGCAGTTAGGGCCAAAATGTCACAATATTTACATAAAACATGAGAAAATTTGTTTTTTCATGATATGGGCTCATTAAGTTGAACCACGCAGGAGTATTCCTTAATCAGCACGCCTCCAAAAAACTCGTTTCTCAAGCGGGTCTTTCCTGAGATATTGCTGTGATGTTCCCTCGCTGCGAATGAGCGCAAATTCCAAAGAGCATGTGGGAGAACCCTGGTGTGTTGTCCTTTCGTGTTCATCATATTGGCTCAGCGCTGATACTGAAGGCAAGCCCTCCTTTAATCAATGACATCATGATACGTTTGGCCAGGGATCAGCTCAAGCCTAAAGCAAACATCTCAAAGGCCACTTTGAGACTTGGAGAACCCTTCCTTTGTCTTAAAGACAGCTGGCTAACACCAAGACCGGCCTCGCTCCTTTAGGTCTCATGTTCTGCTTTTCCACGACATTAATAACTCTAAGTACATTAAACAAAGCGTTGCATAAACAGCACCTCTGAACTGGCTCCAGTTCCTCTGAATTGAAGTGATTGCCTGGGAAAGAGCTAAGCGAAGAAATTTGAGCTGCTATGTGCATGTCTGTGTAATCTTGTGTGAAAAAGCCTCCCTTCTTTCTTTTCACTGCAGAGTCCACACTCCTCCCATTCAAATCTTACGGCTGCGGAGCCCAGAGAGCAAGAAAGCAGGTAAACCCATTTTAAGATCACAACAAACGTCCAGGTGATGTGAGTCACTAACCATGTTGTGCTGTTGAGAGCAAAGCCGTGTTCAAATGCTCTTCCTCAGGGTGACGGTTTGCTGTTATATTATATTATATTATATAGATGTGGGCGTTGGCTCCACTGAAACTGAGGCGCACAGCTCTATCTGTTTTTATCTGCTTTATCTTCCTCCACCTCAAGCAAGTGGCATGCTTTCTTTTGTCCTTTGACCTCTCATCTTTCTCCTTCACGTTTTAGTTTTCTTCATCCCTCGTTCTTTATTGTCTTCCATTTTCCCCCGCAAAGTATCCACTGTCGAATTAACACTCGCAGTGTCAAATGAACTCTTACGGTGTTGAACACTGTGCACTCTTGTAGGTACAGTGTTCTATACAGTGCCAACAAAATGGCTTGTAATAGAATCTAAAGCCTTTTTGGTGCTACTGATTTTTTTTTTAAAGGTTCTTTAAAGAACCATATACAGTCACATGCATTACGTGAAATTCCATGTGTTGTTTATAAGTAAAATAAGTTAACGCCTCCTCTACAGGGAACAAACAAATATGGCATTTTATGCAATTTTTTGCTGAGTTTAACGTATTAGAAAAAAGTAAAACACAGCCTCTCAGGCCACATTTATGCTTTGTTCCTCAATATATTTAATTCAGCAAATAACCAGTGATTGTGCATTAGAAGTGTGTTCTCTGTAGAGCAGGGGTGTCAAACGCAACCATTAAATTAGGGCTATTTTAAAAAAAATATGTTTTTATTTCATTTTTACCATTTTAACATTTTGCTATGAACTGAATGAGCCACTGTTTATTCAAAATACGCCACAACTGCAACAGCGAAATAGGCATTAAATACTAATACTAATTCTAAATAAAAGTAAATTGTTTTTTTAAATTTACTTGAACTGGACACCAGGCCTCTTTTCTTTTAATGTAACTGATGGTCCATAGATTGTTGGTGGGGGGTTAGAATGCACACTATGTTGCAGTGCATGCTGGGGACCGTAGTGCATCTCAGGCTAATAAGAAAAAAATTTTAAAACAATTTCCCAGGCCAAATAGGACTGTGTCACAGGCCTGACTTGGCCCGCAGGCCTTGCGTTTGACATGGGCTTTAGGGAATATAGAGAACAACCATTTAATCATGCTAAGAACGATTAAACAATGAAATGGTTCTCTGACTTGTAGTGGTTCTAAGATTTTGCTAGGCCATTACTATGCTATCACAGGTGGTCACTAAGGTATTGATTCATTGTTTGAACGAGCACCGTATGAACATTGTGAGATGAATCAGTTAAAAAAAGCACAAGCAACTTTGTGATCCTGCAAAAAACTAGTGGTTCTAGCTCGAAAACTGTAGGAAGAGCAGCACTGCAATTTTTTGACTATAGAATAGTAATAATGAGAAAAGCCAACTCAATAATTATAAGTAGTAGATCATATAGAAAATATAATAAGTGACCATCAAAAAATGCATTTTATGAGCAACAACAATTTAGGCAATCAAATGATTCTTGGAGTTGTCCTGGTTCTGTAATAACCATTGTCTGAACCCTGAAAGAACCCCCTTATTTCTTTCCATTATTTATATGTTTAATAATAATGTGTCTTTTTTTTTTTTTGGTTTGTAGTACCAAAGAGAGGCGCTCTCGTTTCCTGAAGCAGTGGAGTCAGGTGGGCCATGGAAAGACCCGGCTCAACAGAGAAGAAGTGGAGAAATGGGGCGAGTCACTTAATGACCTACTAGAAAGCAGAGGTATGAGATAGAATCCACTTTTTTATTGTTGTTGTTTTTGCCTGTTGCTTGTTTTAGGTACAGCAGCCAACCTACTCAATGCTTATTGACATCTAGTTTGAGCAAATCAGTTTGTTCCAGAATATTTCAGTGGTGCTGCAGTGCTGTACTCTTACTCTGGCGTATTCTGTGGGAAAAGCCTTTGACCTTTACATTGATAACAGTGCTTTACATTGAGCCGTTTTTAATCCCTTCCATACTCCTAATTTAACACACCAGAGCTTGTATTCACAAAGCTTCTTACACAGCTTCATGAGCTTCTCAGCAGGCCCAGATTGAGTTAATGGAGCCTTCAGGAGCATCAAAATAGGCAAATCAGGTGGATCTGATTAGAGCTGTAATAAAACTGCAGTAGACTCAGCAGGGACCCAATTCAATAACAGTCACTGCACTTGGTTGATGGGTACTTGAGTTAGTGACTTGGACCCGAGTTGCACCTGAGTTGCATGCAGACTGACTGTGGATTGAACAAAAGTCCACAATAAAAAAAAAAAACTTCAAATGTGACTCTGAGTCGGTCCTCAAAAGCTTGAGACTTGACTCGGACTTGCATCTCAAAAGCTTGAGACTTCACTCAGACTCGCATCTCAGAGACTACAGACTTGAATCAGACTCACACCTCAGAGACTACAGACTTGACTCAGACTGAAACTTAATAGACTTGAGACTTGACTCAGACTCAAAGCTCAGGCGCTTGAGACTTGACTCAGACTTGCATCTCAGACAATCATTAATGGACTCAGACTCATGCCTCACACGCTTGAGAGTTGAATCAGACTCATGTCTTAGAAACTCTAGACTTGCCTCAGACTCGCACCTCATAAGCTCGAGACTTGACTTGGCTTGCACCTCAGACACTCGTGAATTGGCTCAGACCCATGCCTCACATGCTTAAGACTTGACTCAGACTCGCACCTCACACACTTGAGACTTGAGAATGGAGACTGGACTCCAACTCGCACCTCAGAGACTGAAGACGTGACTTCCCTCAAACACTCGATTCGACTCAAGACTCGAGGCTTGACTTAGACTCCCAACCTTGAGACTTGACTCTGATTCACGCATCAGGCACTTGAGGCTTGACTTGGATTCGGCCCTCAGAGGCTGGACGCTTGCCTCAGACTTGTGCCTCAACCTATGAGGCTTGACTTGGAATCGTACCTCAAGCACTCAAGCCTTAACTCAGACTCACAGCTCCAAAACTTGAGGCTTGACTCGGATTCACAACCCAGATGCTTGACACTTGACAAGGATTCACACCTTAGAGACTCATGACTTGACTTGGATTCACACCACAAATGCTCAAGGCTTGACTCAGACTCACACCTCAGAGACTCGAGACTTTATGACTTGACTCTGACTGTTTAGTGCAATCTAAACGTTTGTCATTACATGAACCATGACTTACAGCACAGATTTGTCTGGCAGCAAATACAGGGAGAAAGTGACGCAGTAAATGTGCCTGGTGCACTTCCTCCAGCCACAAAGTCCAATCATAAGTGGTTACCGGACACGTTCATGACACATGAAAATGCCAGGTGTAAACAACTATGTTTTGCTGTCTACTTGTGATCAGATCACTTGAGGTGGATGTTAATACCAGGTATGAAAAGGGCCTCAGGCGTTATATTTTTACTTTTTTAATTTTATTATTTACACAAGAAGGTACAGTTAATACAAACAACAAAAAAGAGAGAATGTGCCAAGTAGAAGTAAAAAACCTGCCTCAGATTTGCACAAAGTGACTGTTGCTCACTTAGTGTCCTGCTGGATGGCAGACACGAGAGATAAAATCAGCACTGTTGTGTGCTGTGTGGTATGTCACAGAGCTGGATTTAATCCACGGTCTGTTTACTCTTTGGCATTTCCACTGCATTTCTAATACTGGATTTCCTTTGTCAATCACAGCTTTTAGAAGCCGCTTGCTCAGTACTGTTTCCTTGATTGCTGTGTTGATTGCAGCAGAGGGCAAAAAGAGAATGTTTAAGGGACATTTGTGCATATAAACAGTGTACTGCAAAACGCAGTCATCCCATGACATATCACACATCATAAAAATAACTAGGTCACATTCACAGTAGGTCTTAGCTTCAGGAATTTCAAGAGAGAAGGTTCTGACCAAAGTTCAACTTGCAGTTAGGCATTGGATACGTTCTGTCTTAGTCTGGGAGCATCTAAAAGTCTTCGCTCTCTGTGTTTGCGCTGTGTCGGCACTGTATGCTTCGGAGGTTCGTCCATTGTCTGTATGACACATGTATCTGATGTTACTGTGGTTCCTCAATCATAGCCTGCAATTTGTGGAACATTGTGTTGTAACATCTGTGTTAGCAATGCCCCCCTCCCCTTCCTTTTCCCTTCCAGCCACGATTATTTTTTCCCTTGAGAAATGTTGCAATCAGTGGCGCAAAGGCGAATTGTGTCAGCTGTAAATGAAAAGGGAGAGTATTAAAGCAATAGATAAAGCAGGTATAATAGCCTTAAAAGTCCCATATTGTACATTTTTCTTGTATTTTGTTTTACTTGATGTCCAATTATGACATTTGTGTGGTCGTAAGTCATTTTTACTTGTTTTTTTTCCAACCTTAGAATTAAACAGGCTGTTTTTGTTACTGTGCGTTTATAGTCTGATATATGTAAATGAGCTACGTTCTGATTGGCTGCCATGTATTGCGCTTCAATAGGCAGTCTGGGCTGAAACACTCCTTATAACTTCAGTGTGAATGTGCAGAGCTAAACTGCGGGCTGTAGGGTGAACAGGCTGAGATAAATGCACTTGTTCTTTGTGACATCACAAAAACAATCAACACAAAATAAGCTGTTTTTCTAGCTTAGTTTCCACATATGGCCTGTATAGAATTTAGAAACTTTTAGTAGTACATTTATGAACTTCAGCACAATCACATGCTACATCAAACTCAATAAATTTAAAAAATGTAAAGAAAATGATGTTTTCTGTGATATGAACTCTTCAAGTCATTGTTTGGTTTCGTTCAGTTTGTAAAACAAAGCCGCTGTGACACTGTATATGCGTGCGAATGTCCCATCTGTGTCTCCTTTCTCCAGCCCCCTCCCCCCATCTTGCTACAGCGTGTCCTTAGAGACTGTTTAGTGACAGTAGAAAGTCAGTAAGCCCACCCCTCCCTTCTTTTTCTCTCCTTCTCTGCGTCAGTGGGTGTGTCTGTGTTTGGAGCATTCCTCCGCTCTGAGTACAGTGAGGAAAACCTACAGTTCTACTTGGCCTGTGAGCAGTACAGACAGTCCTCCAACACCTTCAGTCTGCAGAGACGTGCCAAAGAGATCATCGCCACCTACATCCAGCCTGGAGCTCCCAGAGAGGTGGGACGCACCACTGTGACGCTAAACCAACACAATGTGCTAAATATTGCATAATCTGCAGGTTTTAAGAATGGAAGCAGGAAGAGGTTTTGCCCACAATTAGCACATTATTTTCTGCCAAAAATCAATTTTTACCCTTGTTCTGAATATAATTATTCAGCCAAGACATGTTTGCACTGGACCTGGAAGGCTAATGTACCTAATTCACCTCTCTAGCCTTGGTTTATATATTATAAAGTAATAGTTTGGTAATAAAACACCTTATTCCACATGTATTCAACCAGCAAAGACATTTGGTTTGCTGTGAGACTAATGCAGCTGACAAATTAAGGCGTATAGCCACCAGGTTAGTGCCTGCAAACTGCATGCCTAAATCAGCCACGCTTGCCTCAAACTCTGTCAACCTAGGTGATCTGAATTAGACTGGTTTATGTGGTTTCTGCCACTGCATGACAACTGTTAAAAGTATGTCGAGTCTGATTTTTGTCTGTTTTTATAGATAGAAGTACATCAGATACCACATAAGGAAGTCTGAGATTACTTAACGAGCACTTAAAGGATTACCACTCAAAACCTTTGCGTAATTCAGTTGTTGAGATGTAAACAGTGTCATTCAGAGTGACGTGAAATGGTTCATTGTGTAAAACTTGCAAATCTGAATTTCTTTACAGTGGTGGCGATGGGAACCAGGGGTCGCAATGTCTGTACACAAATATAGCCATCTTGTTTAATATCTAAAACCTACACAGGTCCTCTGTAATGTTGATAGTGCTAAAATAGTCGTAATTCTGAAAAAATAACATTTGTTTGGGGACTGTTTTGTCTGCATGTATCTCTCTGCCATAAATGTATTCAAAAACAATACAGGTTTTTGGGCAGAATCTTCTCAGAACTATTAGAAAACAATGTCTCGGGCGTCAGGCAGTGTATTCATAACTATTTCATCTAGTAGCTTTTGGAGGCATTACAGTCTTCACATGTCTGGTTCCTATCACCACCACTGTGATCAGGTCTGACTCTGTTAGCTTCTCTACAACAGAGAATTTCACATCAAACCACTCTGAATGACTTTGTTTACATCTTAACCGTTTAATTAGGCTAAAATGTTGCAAAATCATTGGAGCTTCCCCTTAACATCAATAAAACAGTGCATGTTTATACGTGTCCATGTTTCTAACTCCTCTAACTCTTTCCTCTTTATCAGATAAATCTGGACAGTAAGACTCGGGACCTGACGCTGCAGCTTCTAAAGGCCCCGTCCCACAACTCGCTATGCCACGCCCAGAGGCGCATACGCTCTTTACTGGACACGGACTGTTACCCTCGCTTTCTCCAGTCCAACGTCTACCTCACGCTCTTGGCAGACGCTCAGTAGGACCACACTGGGCACGGAGACAATGTGAAGAGCAGAAGGACATTTAATTGACTGAAAAAGAGTTACGGATGGACAGATGAACGCCTGAACGAATAAGTGCAGGCTCTTTTTGGTCGGAAGCCTGATTCCAAACACTGGTTTGAAAATCCTGAATAATTAATTGATAGAATGAGCACGACTACTGTTTTTTTTTTTTGTTTGTTTGTTTGTGTCCTCTGAAGTTAAAGATTGTTAATATATTATGGGAAACAGAACCGAGTAGCAGTCTAAGCAAATACAAGAATGCTGACGTGGTCTTCTAGTGTAGTACATCATTGTCCAGAAAGGCAGCTGGCTGAAGTCATGGACATTACCAAGGCCTGTAATCATTAAGATGAAACCTAACCGGAGCTGGTGCCCATTACGTGTCAGTGAGCAAAAGCAGAATGGCATGCTGACAGAAAGGAAAAACCCGTTGGGCAAGCTTGGACCCTCCTGCCAATGGAGGACTTGTAGAGCAATAATCAAATCAATGTGGAGAAACAAAGCTTCTCTTTAGGTCAGATGATATAAGACACTCGTGTAAGGAAGTGGTCCCTTTCTAAAGCCTCATTACAGTAACCTCCTCAACGGTTGCCGTGGAATTCCTTTGTTTGGCAAACAGGATTGTTGTAATGTGAGCAAAGGAGCCGGGGCTGGGAATAGAATTCGTCTGTTGTTACTTGTTTTCACATGGCTGTATCATTGACATTTAGAAATAAATAATGTTTTATATGGTTTCTGATCCCTAACATTGCTCACAAGTCTCAAGATGTCATGAGGTTTGTTCTGAACACCATAGATTAACGGAGCAGTTGGCAGAAAGCTCAACAGAAAGCCATTTCGAAAGGTCACCAGGTGTATTTTATGTCCCAGTGTCCTCTAAAACACGCTGTAGAGTGTGAACTGTACCAGCAGGATGAAGTGCTGAAGGAGACTCACTTTCAGCAGTTGCCAAGTTGGGTAATTCCTGGAAATGTTGTCATTTTCATCACTGCCCTCTTCATAGAGCAGTAATACGTTTGTGTACATTTTAAGTGAGTCATGCATGCACACTATTTCAGTCTTCAACAGGCAGCTTTAGCTAAATGTTATACTTACAAATTCCTCTGTGATAGCGCAAATGAGTGCTAACGATGACTGCAGTACCAGTGATTACCACAAGAGGCTAATGTAATCAGTATGTAAGATCCAAGGCCATTTTCCCCGTCACCCTTCAAAATATCTGCATAATTCAGTCGTTAAGATGGTTTGATGTGAAATGGTGCATCGTAGAAACGTACAGACCCTGATTCCTCGACAGTTGTTGTGAAAGGAACCAGGAGTCACGACATCTACAGCGCAAATGTGTCCATTTTATTCGCCGTCCAAAACAAGTGACCCTACTTGGGTCTACTTTTACAACACCCTGCATTTTCTGCTCTACCATGAGAGGATTATTAAAAAATATCAATGTTTCAAAACTATTGTAAACCAATGTCTCAGGTCTGAGGCACTGTATTTATAACCACTTTGTGTACTCATTTCCTGTGACGTCACTTTAAACTCTTCAGACGTCTGGTTCCTCTCACCACCACTGTGAACAATTCTGACTCAAGTTTCTCCACAACAGAGCATTTCGTATCAAACCACTCTGACTGACTCTGTCTTGATGATTTAGTTATTCAGATATTTTGAAAATCTGGTGCCCAGTGACCTCTGGGATCGGCTCCAGCACCCCCAGTGACCCCGAAGGATAAGCGGTTTAGAAAATGTGTGTGTGTATGTGTAAAAAATTTGATGAATTATTCAGATACTTTAGAAATCTGGTGGAATTCCCCTTTAAGACTTGCTTTACGATCTTCAATAGAAAAATTGAAAAAAAAAAAATTTCAATTCAATTTTAATTGTATCGTTAATCTGTAGATAAGATTATATTAGGACTTGTTACAGCACTGAGTGTTACATGTTTCATGAATTTAGGGAATAAAAATAAAATTCATTCAGTTCGTTCACTTTTTTATTTATTTGGAAATACAAAAGTCCCTGAATCTCCATAACACTGTTTTTCATGAGGCATTGAATGCATGGCTACAATAACAAAAAACATTCAGCTACTGAGTTAAAACGCTGCTGCCTCAGTGGTGAAACGTGCAGCTTATTTATGGCTGTTTATCTCTTTCACATTATTTATTCCACCCCCTTTTCTTCCATGAGTTAGTTGGGAGCATGGGAAGCTTTTACTTTCCCTTTATCTTTTTTGTTTTTAAATAATCCCTGCTTTGTTTTGCTCCTCATGTCCTCTGGTTCCCCTCTTTCCTCTGATCTCCCTCCAGCTTCTCTCTTCATGCTTGCGTGCACCTTGTCACCAGGGCCTCGTGCTGCGATGTTCTTGTTTCTGTCGGACCCACTGGGCCGTGCAGCGTCTCTCTCCGACTGTCCAGGACCAGCCGCCCCTGCCTATCCCCCTCTCCACCTCCGCTGCTCTGTTTCTCTTCACATCCTCCGCTCCTCTGGGCCAGGGGTCGCTCCCTGTCCTCATGCCGTTCTCCTGGACACGGCTCTGCTTGCTTAAAGTCGCCTGCTCTCTCTGCTCTGGAGCTGCTATGGAGGCCGGCTGTCTAGAAACAGGCCTGGAAACCGGCAGCGGCGGGAGCTGTGTGCTGAGGGAGGGAGATAAAGTGGAGGAAGGAGATTAAAGAGATGATGAGGTGATAGTTCACCAAAAAAATCAAATTTACACAATTATCAAACAGCTAAGACAGGTTGGTGTCCACAGTTTGCTTCTTTTTTCTTTTTATTTTTTGTAGTCAAATGGCTAATGTACCCAACAAATAATGGAATCTTATACCCCCCATAGGCATTATGAAATCTGCACGTCCAAATCATAAACTTGCGGAATTAAAAGGGAGTTCCACCAATTTTTCAAACATTTCTGCATCATTTAATTGTTGAGAAGCAGTCATTCAGAGTGGTTTGATTGACTGTAGAGGAGCCGTGGTGGTGAAAGGAACCAGGGGCCACAATGTCTACAACACAAATATAGCAATTTTATTTACTATACAAAATGACAAGTGTCTGAGTTTTTATATGTAATGCTGATAATCATAAAACAGCGAAAAATGTGCCTTACAACAACCTGCATGTACCTCTCCATCATGAATGGATTTGAAAAAAACTATCATAAAATAATAATCAGGCAGCATATTCATAACCATTTCATGTAATAATTACATTCCATAATTTAGATTTTAGAGGCATTAAACTCTTCAGACGTATGGTTACCACCACTGTGAACAATTTCACATCAAACCACTCTGAACGACTTTGTTTACACCTTAAATATTTAATTATGCAGAATTTTATTAAAAAAATGGTGGAAGGTCTTTGTATGTAATGGGGTATAACAATGTACCCAGCGCGCGATTCAATTCGAGCAATTATGCAAATTGTTTTGTCCTCTTTCACATGCCACATTCATTTAAAAAATGTTTTGTCTTTGTTTAACAACTCTACGTGCACGTTCTTTCTAATTCATGGTTAGTTCAAAAATGTCTACAATAGAAAAGACTGCAACTTACTGTAGTCTATACAAATAGAACAGCACCAGTTAATGAACTATGCACATATATACTTGGAAAGATCATTACATAGATTTTCAGCCATCCAAAGAATGCTGGGGAATATGCAAATGAAACAAAGACATTCAGGTACATGAGATCTGCTCTCTACCAGGAAGTAACACGGACAACCTTGTCCCGAAAAAGGGCCGACGTGCCAGCTGGGAAATATTTTGGTTTCCAAAAAATGAAAGCCACTGGAGGATAAGCAGTCTGTGTATATTTATCATTATAAATTATTAAAGTAGTATTAGTAACTTGCCCAGCTGGTAGTTATATGGCGATTATATAACCATTAGGAACAATCTGAGCTAAGGGCTAAGTCTCTGTGAGACACTCACATGTGGCGCCTGCTTTATTTGGATCACGATAATATTGTTTATTCCACTACTTCTGCAGATGATAATCATTTGTGGAAATGTACATTATCATCCAAGCTTAATTAGTGCTGATCTGTTGGTGTTCAAACAATGCAATTACATTAGAGGGCAGAATTAATAGAATGTCCATTCTCTGGTGCGCAGTCTCAGTTTTACACTGCAATTTCATTCAAAACTTAACATCCTACATTTTTCCAGTTTTATTTTTTATCCTGGTTTTATATTTCATGATTCATTTTTACATGACTATTTTCCAACCTCTCTTTATTCCTTAGAATCAAACAGGATGTTTTTGTAACTGTGCCTTCAAGTCTGATATATGTAAATGAGCTCTGTTCTGATTGGCTGTCCTGTACTGTACCTAGGGCTGGGCGATAAAACGATAACGATAAGTATCACGATATAACTTTTCCTCGATAGAGCGATACGACACGTTCGATAAATGTTCGATATAATACACCGTTCTCACACCTCCACGTTCAGCGAAAGCCTTGGTGGCGTTTTCTACTGCAAGGAAAGCGACTCTACTCTGCTGTCGCCAGGAGAGGGCGCACTTCCGAGTTTTTCGACATGATTAGAGAGGGAGGGGGCCACGAGGAAGATGAGTCTTTAGCAACGGCTGAAACGCGGAGTTATACATTCCCTGTTTGAGTGGAGCGACCGGCGATCTGTTCTCCTGTGACCGAGTGTGAGTGACGAGGTCAGTGGTGTAACTATACTGTCCTACAGCGAACTCACCTCTTTCTGTACATCCTAACCAGCTTTAGCAGCGTTAAATCACAATCCTCACAACTACAGCGCTGTTACAGCGCTCGGACAGCCATATTTAAGTATTAGTGCATTCCCAAGCAACGAAAGTGAAAGAAAGAAGTGGGTTCATGTAAATTACAGCCCTGATTTAAACGAAAGTAAACTGAGGAAGCTTTGAGGCATTGGAGAGCGGGAGAGCGCTAGCTTTACAGGCTAGCTGTTTTTAGCAGCTGGCTAACTTGAAGCAGCGCGCTGTCACTCCACAACACGGACAATTGATGATACTGTAGATCAAACAAGACACAAAAGCACCGCTTTCAGTTTAAACATACCTAAAAGGAGGACTCTGTTTGTCTAGTGTTGATATTTTGCGGTTCACCCCTTAAACTACTACGATAGTATAGAGAAATCCAGTCGTCTAGCTGGTGTCTGAATACTGTGATGTCGTGTAGCGGGGTAGCCGAGCGCTCGGCACCAGCTAAAAATAATGTTTTCTTTCTTAAATTATGACTATTACAAAATAGCCGTGCTTTTCCAGCTGGTAGAAACAGCCCACCAGACACTTTCTCCCACTCTCCCATGACAGATCTGTGAAATGTTCCACTGTTTGGTGAGTGTTTGTCGAGTTCCGACCATAAAGGATAGTTTAAAACAGCAATTAACCACCAGGAGCAAAAATCAGCCTTCAAACCTGAAATAAATAATGATTAGACATTAATCGCGGTATGTATCGATATCGAACGATAGGAATTTTGTTTATCGTGATAACATTTTTGGCCATATCGCCCAGCTCTAACTGTACCTTATTCAAAAGCAGTCCTTCTGACTTCATAACAGTCCTTATAACTTTCTGATTCTAGCAGTATCTGAGCTCAGGACTGGCTTTCTCTCTGACCTATTGGTAACTAGCAAAGATACTTTCTCTGGATAGACAAAGCACTTTTTGTAAGTCGCTCTGGATAAGAGCGTCTGCTAAATGCTGTAAATGTAAATGGATTGGAGAGTGGCCGATGCATTACATGCTTTAACAATGTTTCCATGATACATCAAACTTTCATCAGAAAAAAAACAAAAAACAAAAACTATTTTCCATGATACGGGCCTTTTGTTATTGGAGCCAAACGCTACAAACTATTCATGCTATTTATATCAAACGTCAACGTAGCTTTCAGTTTCAGGTTTATAAAGATCAGAGCCTGGTCTTGTATGACTGGAAATCACTTCCTGGGAATGTTGCCAACATGACTGAAAAGACTTTCCTGTAAGGACACATTTGATTGGTATTGAATCATTGTTAGTTACATTAGCCTCGTAGCCCTCAGTGCAAAGAAGCAGCTATGGATACCAAACATCTTCATTGGTAATTGTGTAAATTTGTTTTGTTTGTTTTTTTGGCCAAACTATCACTTTAACATGGATAAAAACAAGTCTCAAAGATCAAGAGAGGTCTAGATAAGAGGTTTGAGACATGAAGGAAGGAAGGAAGTCATATGTTGTTTAAAAGGCAATTAGCAGCACATTAACACAGACTTTATTGCTGAGGGTTTATGTCTGTGTCTGGCGGCCGTTTGTGCCTTTTTCTGACTCTGCGTCGTCCAGTGCTAGCAGACAGAAAGCCATCGCTAGGTGAAGCCAACCTTTCTGCTGTGTTTGTGTGTCCCCGTGCGTCTGCCTGTCCCCCTGTGTCACACACATTCTCACTGAGCACTGCCTTCAGCCCTGAGGAAGCACACAGGACAATAGCTAACAAGGCAGCACCTGGAAAATGTAGTGTTTTGTGGACCACAGCAACACTTTGCATGCACTTCGTTGCGCCTCGTGGCTCGTAGCCGAAACAGAACGTTACCTGGCAGCTTCAAGGTGTTCAGCTGTTCCTCCAGTAAGAGCCCAAGGTCTCTGTTGCTGATATGGCGACTGTAGAGGTTGCTTCTGGCAACCAAACCCTGATCGCTACAGGAGGGGAAGGGAAAGTAGACACGCAATGGAAGGGAGGAACATGTGCATTGGGGCCAGGCAAGACCAGGACAAGGTGAGAGGGCAGATTCGGAGGAGGAGGAGGAGGAGGGGGGAAGTCATGCCATAAAGTAGAAATGATCGAAAAGAAATAATAAAAAAGAAAAAGAGAAAGAAATAAGAAAGTACAAGAAAGAAAGGACACAAAAGTAACATAATTAGAAAACTCAAAAGGCAATAATATTTCATGAACATAACATACAGTGAACAAAACAATATCAAGTGAAGGGAGACATGCAATGATCATGTAATGTTCAAGTCCTGAAAATTAATAAGCTTCATTGTTAAAAATACTCAACTTGACTTAATTCAGTTTGTGAATATTATGGAAACTCATTCCCGCCTTCTCCGTTTCTGGCAGCGATATGTTAAAATGTGTTAAAATGTCTTAAAATGTGATTTATTTTCTTAATATTTTGACTTCTCAAAATACTACTTATTTTCTCAACATTTTGACTTAGTATTTATCGGCTTTCAATATAATGAGACCAAATTTTGAGAAAATGTCATTATGTCATGACACATTTAGAGAAAGTATTTTTTTCAAGATGCTAAGTAAAACTGTCATTATTCCAAGATAAGTCCAAATTTTGAGAAAATGAGTTATTTTAACAGTCACACTTCAGAAAATACAGAATTGTTTTGAGATAACAGGTCCACATTTCGAGGAAATAAATCATTTCAAAACCTAAAAAAAATACTCAACTTCATTCAGTTTGTGGATGTTATAGAAACTCATTCCCGCCTTCTCTGTTTAAGACAGCAGTATGTTAAAATGTGTTAAAATGACTCAAAATATGATTGATTTTCTTGATATTTTTGACTTGTTATTTCAAAATCTCAACATTTTGACTTAGTATTGCAACAAACGTAGTGGCATACTAAGCCATACTATGTAAAAAAGGAATTATTTCAGACTAATTTTGAGATTAAAAAACAAGTCATTATTTTGAAATACAAGTCCAAATTTTGAGAAAATGTCATTATTTCATCACTACAAGACCATAATTAGAGAAAAGGTGTCTTTCTTTCAGAATTCTACATAAAACTGTGAGATAATAAGTCATTATTCCAAGATAAGAAGTCCAAACTTTGAGAAAATAAGTTATTTTAACATAGTAAGTCACACTTAAGTAAATAAGGTGTTATTTTGAGGTAACAGATCCACATTTTGAAGAAATAAATCAATATTTCTATTATTACTACATCAAAACTTAAATAAATGATTTCAGTATGCTAAATAAATTGTGACGTGCTGCCGTCAAAAGCAGAGATGCAGAATGTCAATTTATTTCTCCTCTGCCTGGTGGGAATGACCTCCACATTACGTAACTGTTAGAAAAGTTAATTAATTTAAGAAAAAAAACAGATGAACTGATTTTTTTTGTTCAACTTTTATTGTGTGTGGATCAAAATGTTCAGGAGAAGGAAAAAGGTAAAAGCTTCTCACAATAACAGTAAAGAAATGTACCAGGTTCAAACCTCAGTTTCAGGGGTAATTTTTACACTTCTCTAGTTACTGAAAGCTCAGGCTTTACCAAACGTATAGCTCCTCGATGGAGCAAGGGCAGGGAAATTTCAAAAACCTACGCACTCCTAGATACTTCCCTTCATTCATTACCACATTATGTAAAAACCCAGCGATCGCGCTGCAGCACTCTTAGGCCTCACTTCCACAACACGGTTACAAAAACGAATAAAAGAACAGAACCAGTTAAGAAGTTAAAAAACAGCCATCTCCAAGGCTGTGAAGTTCTAGGTTAAAAGGTTGAAGGTCAATGAAAGCCGAGCTGAGATCTATTTAGAGAACTGCGGAGATTTGAGTGAGGCGAAAGCAAAGCGCAGAGGAAGAGAGAGAGCGTATTTAGCATTTTTGAAGATGGAAAACGTTTGAGGTAAAGAAGAAAAGATTCAGTTTCATCAATATCAGTGCAACAGTGATGATGAGAGGCAGGAGTGGGGGGGGGGAGTAATCGTGTGAAAATGATAATGTCATTCCAGGGACAAAAGTGGAAGAATAGGAGAGAGAGAGAGAGAGAGAGAGAGAGAGAGAGAGAGAGAGAGAAAGAGGAAAAGAAGCAGTTTAGAGAAGAGCAAGGAGAAAATGATCTGCTGGAAAGAGTGAAGAGGCGCTGCAAACAATGAGACACTAATGAGAGGATATTCCAGTTTCTGCAGCCAAATCAGTCATGCAGTTTAAACATAGAAGTGGCCAGACTGGACACAAAGGCCCTCACTGTCCCTTAGTTCTCAGTGTAACACAGGGCTTTTGATTGTCTTTTCACCACCCAAGCGCCTTCCTGCTCTCATAACCGGCCTGCAGTGAGGATCAGCGCCGTGCTAACAAAGCTACAGTCGGTCTTGCAGAACTGGTATGAACTTCACCTGAGCTACGGTTTGAACTCTCAGCCTTTCCAAGCATGCAGGACAGAGTGAATTGCATCAGTCCTGGTGTTTCACTATTACACATCCTGTTTAGTCTAGATTCAGACACAAAGGAATGGTCAACCAAAAAACATAACACAAATTTCCCCTACAGGAATTCTGTGTATTATATTACCTCCATTAGCCTCACAGATCAAGGTCAGTGCAAAGACACCACTCAATCATTCAGGTTGATCAGAGCCTTGGTTGACTGACTACGCTTGGAGGAAAAGTAGAGGGGGGGGGATGTAAATTAGATTTTTTGGTGAGCCATTCCTTTAATCTGGGTCGGTAAAATCAGCTTGTTTGTGGGCTCACACTTAAGTTCCTCGCTCTCCAAATACATACAGTACTGTACAAGTCTTGGGCGCCTAAGAAAATTATATTTAAAAAAGCATGCATGAATGTGCTAGATCTCCAGGACCAGATTCACAAACAACTTTCTTAGGAAACAACTTGTGAAGATCCTTTAAACACTAAGAAGTTAAGAATCTTGATTTGCAAATAACATCATTGTTCTCTTATGTAGGCTATGGTGGATTTTACTAAACAACAGGAGATACACTTTTAATTCGTATTAACTTTAATTTCAGTTATTTAGTTTAATCTGCTCAGTAGGCAGCAAAATGCAGGAAAAACATCAAACCAAGTGTTTAAAAAAATGTAACAAACAAGAACTAGAGGTGACGGTGGAAAAAACAGCCGACAGGAAAAAAAATCCTCTTTGAAAATACGATAATTGGGGGGTGACGGCGGAAAGCGAGAGATGGAGATGGGCGAGAGTAGCAGAGGCATCTGATAAATTTAGATGCTTATCTTGTCAACTTTTACAGCAAGAGGCTGTTATATGTTTTCAAGAACACCACCTGTTCTTAGAATTATTCTTAAGAAAACATAGGAGAATTCTTTAAGAGTAACAATTTTTCACAATGTTTTTCTTTTTAAATAGGATTTTCTTTCTTAAGACACTTTTGTGAATCTGGTCCCTGGTTTGTCCAGTCAGTACTTCACTAAATTAAATCAGGTGTGCTGGTGATGGAATTGAACAAATCTACTGTTGTATGCAAAAGTTTGGGCGCCCCTGGTCAAATGATGTTTGTTTCACATCCTCTACAGAGAACACGTTTCTGCTCATATATATATATATATATATATATATATTTTTTTTTTTTCCCCAATATGTTAATATATCTTATTTTACAAGTACTGTTCCTTGCATATTAATGCGCTGTTGTCAAAACAAAATCTCCAAAATGATAACTTTACACGAGAAGGAAAAAACCTACTTTACTTTCAATGTAGGTCAATGGAACCAGACTTTTTTTAAGTCATTTTGTGCCGTTGTTTTTGGTCCATTCATCATGAAGTTTACACACAACATAAAGGGTAACAGGCATTTTCAATGACCAATTAGGTCAAAAACTGAAAAACGACAAAAATGGACATTACAAGGTTTTCTTCCGACAGCAGCGAATTTCATACTAATAATTGGGTCTTAAGATAAACTAGTAGAACACGCCTAAGGTCACAGGGTTACAAATAAAGGTTCCTAAATGGTTCTAGGATTCTGGATATACAATTTAAGGAAAAACCTTTAATAGCCTTTTTTAAGCTTCATTTTACCTGAAAAATGGTTCTTCACACTCACGTCTCATGTACTAAACCCACTCTTTAAAGAGCGATTTATCAAAAGGTTCTTCTGGAAAACTCTTTTGTGGCCTCACTCTAAAGAACCCCTTTTGGCAGCTTCATTTTGAAAGCGTAACAGTGAGCAGTCTGAACGGGACAGAGGTGTGGAGAAACTCGTACCTGGTGCGTTTTGTCCTGCAGTTGTCGAGGGGCTGCGGGTGCAGCGTGGGACCCTGCCGGACGCCTGGTGCCGCTGTGGGGCGAGGAGGACCGCGGCTGGGGGAGGATCCCACACTGAGGGAGCGGGAGAACGGGGAGGATACCGCCAGAGGTGGCGAGGGAGGAGGGGCTGCCGAGCGGACAAACGGCCACGGCAGGACCTTCTGCTCCTCTCGCACAACTTCACAACAGAGAGAAGGAGAGAGAAAATGATTCATTCACTCTATATTACCCCAAACACCAGTTACACTTTCATAGTGTTACCAACAGAACCAAAGAACCAGCAGAAATGGTGAAAAATGACTTGGAAAGAAATCTCGTTACACCGACGTCCATTAAAAATTAAGAACGGCTTTATTTAAAGTGACCACTTTGGAGATAGAAGGTTTTGTTCCGACAGTGACGTTAAGTATAATTATAAAATACATAAAACTCTGACAGCCTTCTCAATTAGTGCTCCTCATTTTGAATGAATCATTTTGACTTGTTGATGGTAAACGAGCCCTAGAGGTGGGCCATACAATCATATTGTATTTTTAGAGTGACAAACAATACGCTTTTCTGATCATCCCGTGGATATCGTCAATACTTTACTTTAATAATTACCCTCCCTATTTGTGACCGTTTCAAGAAGTTATTCAAACTAATCTTTTTATCTTGTTTCTTCACAGAGTCAGTCCACTGGGCACTGCATGGCTATGTGATTCCTCTTGTGTGCCTGGTTTGTAATCTGTGGTCTTATCTCAGTAAATCGTCACTCTGGCCATTTAGGGGGTTCTGGGGCCAGATTTACGGAAGCTTTCCTAAGAAAAAAAACGTACGAGGGATCCTATAACAAACATTAAGTTGTTCCTAAGAATGTTCTCAAATGCAAGAAGTTCTCAAACAAAGAAAGTCTGAATTGTTTTCGTATTCGCTGTGAATTATTTGTCAACTAGATTATCAATATCATGTTAGATTTTACAGATTACACCAAAAATTACACCATATTTCCATTAACCTGTTATTCAGTTTAATCACATCAGCACCCAAGAACAGCAAAATTAAGGCAAAACAAAATTAAAACAAAATTTAGCAAACAAGAACCAGGAGGAGAAAACAACCAATGGAAAATCATCCTTGCTTCATTTTAATTGTATTTTGTAAAACGTATTCAAAGTTACAGTTGAAGAGTTTTACTTTGTCAATTCTTACAAAGAAATTAAAAAAATTTAAGAAGATTATCTTTCCTAAGACACTTTTGTGAAACCAGTTTCAGGAGTGCTTTGGGTACTAGAAAAATACTACTACTACTACTACTACTACTACTACTACTACTACTAATAATAATAATAATAATAATAATAATATTATTATTATTATTATTATTATTATTATTATTATAATAAAAGCACAGCAGCACATTAATCGCAGGTAAACTATACAGAATAAATAATATCATGTTCAATATTATATATAATAAGTTAAATGAGTCATATCCATTGATTCTGTTTGAATGATTTGTATTCACCTCTTCTCTAGTTCTGCAGTTCTGCTTCATACTATAAATAGCTTATGGGCAAGATTTGCATTTACAGTCGTTTTAGAAATGCTGCTAAAAATAGCTGAAAAAGCTGTCAGCAATGTTTCTTTATGATTCTTTGAGCAAATATGGGCATATTCTGGTGGCAAAAATCTCCATTTGGTGCTTTGTTTGACCTCCTGGCGCATGTTGACTTCAACATGTAAACATATTTAGTGGATCACATTACTGAATGCACTTCACATAAACTGTTTTTTCTGAATGCAACTGACCGGCCTTAATTCACACTTACCCTCTCTCTCCATTAGCGAGTACGGCTTGATCTCTCCCTCTGGCTTTTTTGGGGGAACCTTTCTCAGTGGGACCACTGCGAAAACAGTAACCTTGTCACAAATGGCTTGTTACTCAGTGGTCAGTGAAACCGCTATGAGTTCTGGCTAAAAGCACACAACACTCCTCATAAATATTTATGTCCACAAATATTCATGTGTTTACTGAGTATGTGTGCGCTGGCCGGCATTCAACTGCTCTACTGGGGAAAAACACAGGCGTTCTCTGTGCTGCCTGTGCTGGGAAGCTGTGGGTTTATGATTATGGACCGTGTGGATGGGGAGTGTCTGAGGGACAGACTGGGCTAGCATGAGCAGAGGTGAACGTGCTGTTTCAGAGGGTGGAGAAAAGCGTTCTGCCAGGCATTATATGCTTTAGGGCTGTCACGATTACTCGATTAATCTTGATTACTCAATTAAAAACAACTATTGAATAAAATGTAGAATTGGTAGTGATTAGTTGGCAATCTGCATGGTGCAGATTCTTATCTTAAATTTCTTTATTGGTCTCTATCACAGTAAGAAACAGAGCTTTGAGCCAGTGTTTTTTTTTTTTTATTAGTCAAGTCTTTTTAAAGGCTTCTAGTTTATCTTTTTTCCCCAATAAAGTACTTAGGAATCTTTGGAAAGCTCTGCATGGTTTGCTATTAAAGAGAAATTCCACCATTTTTTAAATTTATTACATAATTCAGTCACTTAGATGTAAAAAAGTCAATCAGAGTGGTTTGGTGTGAAATGGTTCATTGTATAGAAACTTATTAAGTATGATTTCTTTACAGTGGTGGTGATAGGAACCAGGGGTTGTCGTGTCTACAGCACAAATGGAACCATTTTATAATAATATACAAAACAACCAGAGAACCTAGACATATACGTATTGTTGATGGTGGTAAAATTTTGCAAAGTTTGCTAAATTTTATTTGCAGAATATTTTTGCCTTCTCATGTCCTACATGTATTTCCCTGCCATGAATGGATTAAAAAAAAAAATACATATTTTAGGTCAAAATCTTCTCAGAATTATTGTCTCAGACATCAGGCAGCGAATTTGTAACTAAAATGTACATTTATAACTAATAAAATTTAATATAATAACTTTCTGTGATGGCATTAAACTCTTTGGATGTCTGGTTCCTATCACCACCACTGTGGTGGAGACAGGAAACTTAAGAATTTACAACAGAATCTCGAATTTCACATCAATTCACTCTGAATTACTTTTTATTTACATCTTAAGCATTAAATTATGAAGAAATGTTGAAAAAAAATCAGCAGAATGCCCCTTTAATATGATCAATAATGACAGCCCTATACTACACAAGGTGGTGTGACAAAAAACAACATGAGAAAAGAGGCCAGGGGCAAAAGGGGGTGGAAGACAGTAGAAAATAAAGATTCTTACAAAAAGCCGTACAACCCCTGATCCGTCACAGGGGAGGGAGGCGTGCCTAAGAATTTAATGAAACAAGAATGCAGCCACGATCAAAACCGTACCCCAACTCTACCAACGCCAGCGTCACCACCCACAGTGGAAAGCATTCTATTACACCTTCTGTTACACCAGCACGTAATTGTGTCATGTAGCACACACTCAGGTATGGGCTTGTTCAGGCTTCCATTATGCAACACAGCAAGAAAATCACAGGCTGAGTCGTCAATCTGGAATTTAATCTGCCACACTGAGTCACCGCCGCCCTCACTCCCACCATGAACAGCCACCCGCAGGTGAGCCGTGGACGCTATGTAATAAAACAAGAAGGACAAGCTCTATTACTTGAGTTTTTTTATGTGACGTACCTGGAAACACTGAGTGCCTCTGGGATGCTAATGGAAAAAGACATCATACGGGACACCACGCCCTAAACATGACGTGAGGCAACGGAGCGGTACTTCTAACTTTGCTTATTGTTCCACTGACACAGCGTAAGATTAACATTCCAACCCCAAAAACGCCCCCAGAACAGCACTTGATCTTACCTGATCTGTTCCTGAAGAAGCCATCAAATACCACAAAGTTATTCACCTAACAGAAGACGAGAGGAAAGAATCAGAGATGTGTGATTTTATTGGAAAGATCTTGCAGATTCTGAGCACAAGTGTTAGTATAAAAGCACTTCTTTCACTTGCTAAAATTAAAAAGAGCTTTTTTTTAGCATTTGAGCAAATGACTGGATTTACAGTTTCTTTTGAACGCAGGTGATAAACAGCATTACGACCATCTTCATTTATTGTTTAACTTAGTTCACCTTTTCCAGTAACTAAGATGCAAAGCATTTATAGCAGAGTGAGCTGGATTGTGGTTTCACAGGTTATGTGATTGTGTAAACGATAACACCTGCTTGACAATGTAAACACATCTTAAAAGCGACAAAGCTCAACGGCAGGCGATGGTGTGGTGAGATAACATAGGTAAATCATACCTGAGGCACACTGTGTTTAAGTTCAAAGTGTTTTTCTAGAAAGGCCAGGAATTTGGGTGAAGGTCTGTCATACGCCATCTGTTCGGGCTCCACCTTCTTGTGCTAGGAAATGGGAAAAAAAAAAACAGAAAGGAAACCAAAAGATAAGAAAGACATGAGAACTATAACAGGACTGATTTTGTAGGGTCATTTCCAAACTCACTGTAAAAGATAAGACCTTTTAGGAGATCACCTTGGCTATGTGCTAAGTGTCATCGCCATTACACGAAAACTATGTATCTCCAGCTGCCCTTTACATGGTGTGAATATTTTATGATGAATAGACGAATAGAAGCGGTCCAAAATAAACCATTTACTTATTAAACTTATTAAAATGTTTTGCTTCTCCTTTCCTTTGTGTCCATTTCAGGTACTTTGAAACTTTTAAATTCAACTTGTTTAACTTTTAAATTCAAATGTGCACATTTTTGGGTAGCGCTGGTCAAATTACACTTCTTGGTGATTTTCTAAGTGTAAATAAATTACACATCCTCTACAGAGAACACACTCCTGCACATTTTAAGGCAAAATTACTGTCTATTTGCTGAATTTCACATATTGGAGGGAAAAAAAAAAATAAAATGTGGGATTTAAATTTTTTTTATATGTTAAACTACAAAAATTGTGAACTACAACTTGCATCACATTTTTAAATTTGCTCTCTAGAGTAGGGGTATCAAACTCGAGTAAAAGGGCCATATTAGAAAATCTCAACAAATCCATGGGCCAGAGAAAAAATGTTTTTATTTTATTTTTAATTAAGGTTGTGCTGTAACTCAAACTGACCACTGTTTATTCGAAATATGCAAAAAACTATAAGTAAAATATAGGTACTTGTAGTAGACCCTGAAATATTACATAAATACTTGAAATATTCAAATTTAAATGTCCCCAGGGCTCGACCTACCTGTCTGCTTGAACTAGACACCTGGCATCCTTTCTTTGCTGCACGTTCATTAAGACTTGAGGTCAATTTCTGAGCTGCTGAGCTGACATTAAGAGTTTATTTCAGTTGAACTGCAGCTGAAATGTAGTTAGTGTGTTTGGTGATATGACTGGTGTGGAACTGTGTAGAACTGAGGTATACGCGCTGTCCCATAGATTGTTGTTGGGGTAGGAGAGAGTGCACATAACGTTGCAGTGCATGCTGGGGACTGTAGTGCAGCGCACTGTAAAACAGGTTAATATTAATAGAAAATTAAAATACCTTTGCGGGTCGGAGAGGATTGTGTTACGGGCCTGATCTGGCCCACGGGCCTTGTGTTTGACACTTAAGCTATAGAGGATGTGTGAACTTATTTACACTTAGAAAATCAACAAAATATGTAATCTGACCAAACGTGATCAAACTTTTTAAATCTACAACTGTGCCCACCTTCTTTATTTTCTATACTTTGTCTTTTTGACCCTCGGCCCACCATAAACATCACACTTTGCACCTCAGAGACAAAAAGTTTGGGCATCTATGCTCTTTACAATATCAGTACTAATGACCAACCTCCAGCATGAAGCGGAAAAGCTCTAGTCCATATCCATGTCTCTGCAGGTTCTCGGTCACATAGAAGTCCAGCACACACAGCGGCTCTGTCTCCACATGCGCCCCCCGCTGGTCCTAAAGGTTAATGCAGCATTTAAAGGAAGATTTATGTCTCACCCATTCAGCAAAAACACACAGATACACAGTGAAAACAGAAAGGAAAAGCACCTACAAGCAGAAACAGCTTCTTGTATCCAACCTTCAGATATCCCACTGCAACACCCCGACCACTGTGAAGGAGAAAGACAAAGGAACAAAAGGGAGACGAAGAGACTGTTAGTGACAGCTGAGCTGAAGTGGAAATCCAGTCTTGTGTTCTTGCAACTATAAACCTTTTCAGTACAGACAAATCAGGTTAATAAAAGAGATATTTATTAGGGGTGTAGCAGAATGATGTTTGATTGTGAGGTCAAGATTCAATCTGATTTTTAATAATGACCTAAATTGAATAGAGCTCTAAATATTTTACACATTAGCTCATATAGAACTCTTTCAGTGAGGGCACAACATAAGTGGTAAAAATCACAACATATAGAATTTATAAGCAACTTCAGAAAAGAAGCCCAGTCATTTGAGCGTGGGTACATGAACAGCATAAGCCCCACCCTGTCCCCGCCCACTTTTTTTGATAGATGGCACACAGACGTCTTGCTTTGACAGCGGCGACGAGAGTGAGGGCTGTATCACATTTCAAGCATTTAATTTTTTTTCTGTGCTGAAATCATTGCACCCCTAACCTCTGAAGTTTATCATCATTTTGTAGCCAGTGATGCAGCCATATAACGAACTCTGGATCTAATTCTTTAACAACCTTGTAATTCAGAGAATCCAGTGATACGGGGTACACAACACAAAACATATTGCTGTTGGAATATTGGTTCACCACAGGATGCGACAGTGATCTTCAAAAACACTGTTCATTTTCCCATAGACAAAAACTGCTTTGAGTTCCATATTTGGGCATGACGCCGACTACAGAATGATGCACGACTCCAGAGGTCTTTGCTGAATTTTCAAGCAATTCAAGGAAATCACACCTTTAAAACAGCCAGAACTGAAATGGAACAGAATTGCACACTGCTGTGGGCAAAAAGAGAGAAAGACGCAGCCTACCCATTACGCTCTCCATCCTTCAGCAAGTAAAGATAGTGTCTGTTGGACTGGAGCTTTGCAGCACTTGTTATTGGTGCAGGCAACTGCTGGGCCTGAAGAGGAAATATTATATTATTTATGGTTAAAGTAATTCTGTAGGTATTCATCAAAAACATTAAGTGAAGTAAACACTCCGGATTTCCCAGACATGGATTAGGCCTGGTCTTAGGGCCTTTATACACCTAAAAGTCCGGACCAAGGTTCATGTTCTTGTTACATTGTGTACATTTGATCCAGTTAATTTTGGTCTCACATTGCAATTTACACACCTACGTCCTGTCATCATCACCTACGCAGACTGTGTCTCCCTATACTTAACATTGCTTGGTTTGTAGAGGACTGTGTGTCTGACGTCAGCGTGTTGCCAACTTGGTGCGTAGCCTTTTCCATTTGAATGAGAAAAATTAATATTCTCTTTCTACGATCCTCTTAAAAAATAAGGTATTTTTATGTTTTTCCAATTTGACTTTTTCACTGGACCAAATTACAATATTTCGTCTCCTCCTCTCCCCGTGTGCTACCATGGCTTATTTTTGCTTCTCTCCCAGTTCTTTTTCTTCTTCTGTTGTTTAATGGGAGATGGGTTGAGCTGCCTCAACTTCCTGTAATTGGTCTGAAAGTCCGAACCATCCAAAAAGTGTTTTCACACTGCAGACGAACTGAACCGTGGTTCATGTTGATCCAGTCCGAGACTTATTTTGGTCAGACCAAATTTTTGCTCTTTGATCTGGACCGTGGTCCGAGGCACCTTTCACACCTGCTATTTTGGTTTGGACCGAACTGAAAAGTCAGAAGGTTTGGACCAAACTAGGTAGGTGTGAAAGCACCCTCAGATTTAATTGCAGTGTCAATGGGAAATCACCACTGGAAATTCTCCTTAGTCCAGGCTTTGGCTTAATCACGGTCCAGGAAACTGGCCCTGATTGTAATAAAATGAAATCACCTTGGCTGAGGCCTTTCCTAATTCATCAATGACGATGGCAATCTGGTTCTGGGCATCAGGTCTGAAATAAAAGCACATAATGGGTACTTTAAAATTGATTAACAATAAAACTATGTTTTATAATAACATAAACCTTAATAAACTGACCCACTGTACAAAGAAAGTCTTTTTTATGTGTCTTTCAGATTAAAGCAGCTCAATTTTAAACGTTTAGGGAGACTTTTCATGAAGATTTTTAATTTCTGACATCAGGCAACATAAGCTGTGGCATAAAATTAAAGGGTCCACATCGTGGAGAACAAAACGTCTATCGCTTTTTTGAAATACAACAGTGAGGTGTAGTCTGTAAACACTGTTTCAAAATATATCTTTCATTTCCCGGTCCATACAGCCCACGTAATGAAACTGAGCTGCCAAAACAGCCCATTTTGAATTCACTGTTTTTGTGATGTCAGAAAAACCATCCATCCCTCTGGCCTATAGCAGCCACAAAGTCACAAAGAAGTTATAAGGAGTGTTTCAACCTCCGCTATTTTTTGAATGAGGCGCAGTACAGAGCAGCCAATCAGAACAGAGGTCATTTATATAGATCAGTCTTAAAGGTACAGTAACAAAAACAGCCAAGGGATGATGAGGGGTTGAAAAATTGTAGAAAAAAAGAAGTGAATTACGCCTGTTTGTGGTATAAAACCACACAGACGTCATAAGCAGACACTAAGAGAAAAACATAAAAATAGATAAAAAATAAAGAAAATGTAGGATATGTGCCCTTTAAAACAGGCAGACACAAAAATGAAAAAAGTGACCAACCTAGTATGAATTTGAATTCATTGTTCAAAAACAATAAGAAAGCAATATCAAACGCATCACAATGCATTTTATGTTGAGTGCATCAAAGAAAAGGCACGTGAATGCTAAAAGACCCCACCTGCCCACCTGCCCACCTGCCCAAGCCTCATGGCACAAGTGCCCTGCATTGTTCGCTTGGGTTCATTATCTGAGTGACAAAGGCAGAAGTACGAGGCTGAAGCCCGCTTCTTGTTCGAATTTTCCCGTTCCACCTTAAATAGTGCAGCAGTTACATTCTGGCGCCTCGGGCATTCGAACGCCTGCTGCATCATTTAAGGTGGAACGGGAAAATTAGAACAAGAAGCAAGAAGTTTCGTTCAATAAATACACATAAATCACATCACCAAGAGAAAAAAAAGAATACCTTCCGTATGGTTTTCGGCCAGCACACAAATTCTGATCCAGCACAGAGATTGTCTCCGTGAACAGGGCGTTCAGGTCGAAGGGGAACTCCATCGCAGGGGGAGATAAAGGAGCTAAAGGCTGGTGGAGAGAAAGCTCAAATCTGCAGCAGCTCTAAAGACCTTCAGACGGAGGAGCTTCACCAACATCACCATCAGATTCTCACTGCATCGTCCTGCACACAAGCCACCAAAACACAGCAGCCGAGCCAGCAAGACGATCTAATGTTTAGAATATGTAGATACAGGACAGATCTAGTCATGCCCGGGTCTGCTGTGGTGCCGCTGCCTCGGCGCTGCTGCTCTCCCTCATTGTGCCGCCGCTGCCGCTGTCACTCCCTTCAAACAGCGCGATTCAGGATTAGCGCTACAACACACGGAGCTTATAGGATTTCCTGTGAGGGCTGCAGCGCTTCTTCACTCCTGGCCAAGTAACTTAAAACGCCAACACGTTTCTTGGAGCTTTTCGGTTTTTTTAGCTTAATAAAATAAAAAAAAAAAACAGAAAACGCCCAAACGGCTTTAATCAGAAAATAAATGTACGTCTGTAATCCGCCTCACTTCCGTTTCCTCTTAGCAACCACGAACCGTGTTTACATAGCAACGCAAACAGCTTTAGCCCGGCGCTATTTCAAAGCTAACTGACCTTATTAATAAAAAATAAATGAAAAATCTATAAACTGATAACGTGAAAAGGAAATGTACTCGTTAATCATTTTTAATAGACTTGTTCTAAAAGTTCACAGAGCCCTGCTCGCATAAAGAACTGATGATCTTCTAGATTAAAAAACAACACTTTAATTACACTGAAATAGTCAGTGTAATAAAAAAAAATTATAGTAAAAAAGTATAGGAATTTATTCATGGTTGATTTAGAACTGTTATGGCACGTTTACTGTAATGTAGTTCATAAGCATTACAGCCACTTAAAAACTAGGGTTCTTCAGGGGTCCTTTAGTCACGGCAACTGGTTCTATTCAGAATCATTTCATGCTTTAAAACCTCTTCAAATCCTGGAGACCACCGGTGGTTCCAAATCACACTTCGTCATATTCTTCATCCATCCACCCATCGTCTAAACCGCTTATCCTTCAGGGTCGCGGTGGGGTGCTGGAGCCTATCCCAGCTGTCATTGGGCAGAAGGCAGGATGCACCCTGGACAGGTCGCCAGTCCATCGCAGGGCAGACAGACAGACATACACATTCTCTCTCTCACACACACACACACACCTAGGGGCAATTTTAGCATGTCCAATTGGCCTGACTGCATGTTTTTGGACCGTGGGAGAAAACCGGAGTACCCGGAGGAAACCCACGCAGACACGGGGAGAACATGCAAACTCCACACAGAAACGACCCTGGTCGCCCGGCCGGGAATCGAACCCAGGCCATTCTTGCTGTGAGGCGACAGCGCTACCCACTGCACCACCATGCCGCCCCATATTCTTCATAACTGTCATATTTCATAAGCTGCATTCAAAAGGTGGGTGTCATATGAGAGCTGTAACAGTCTTCTATCCAGTCAAATAGATGGGTGATGTAATTTTAAACCCTTATAATAAAAGAAGCTGAACTCAGTTTTTTTGTCTACTGAAAGTCGAACCATTTTTCCACAAATCTGGGCTATAAACTATAAACAGATGGCGTCTCTTCAGTGATCTGCTCTGTAAAAATTATTTTACAGAGCAGATCAGCATATAGTAATATGTGTGATCATAAAACACGTTCTGTTAATTTGAGGGGAGCTTTTACAAAAAAATTTACATTTATTTCATGCAGTTACTGAGTAATTTGCCTCACGATTTGGTCATGTAAATTCAGATGGAAAAACCAAAATATACCCTGGAGAATAAGAGGTTAATGGTTCTTGGGGAAATGGTTCTCCAGATTGATGGAGAATGAATTGTATATTTTGAAAATGTGTCTATATAGCACAAAAAGGGATGCTTCTATAGTTACAATGCCAAGCTTGTAACAATAGCAGAGCCCTTTTTGGTTCTATGTAGAACAATTTTCAAAAAGATTCTATACAGAACCATATACAACACATTTGGAGGAACCATTTCATCATGCAGGTCTCCTGTATACACATGCATAAACATACACTCATACACAAATATCTCTGCGGTGCAGTGTAACAAAATGAATGAGATGAATTAAGTAGTTAAATGAATAAACCACACATTAGTGAATTAAATGGTGAATCAGCCCTGAAAGCAGGACTCTTTATCAAACAGAAACATGATGCTCATAAATGATTTTAGTGAAACAGAATTATATCGACTCCTAGACAGGTTTCATTTTACCTCCTCTCTTACCTTTCCTCACGTAGATCTAGTCTGTGGATTCGGTGGTTTCACAAAATTGTGAGGAGCATTGAAGTTCATATACTCTGATACTGTAACACAGGTGATCTCAAAAAGACTATACAGATGCCATAAAACCAGAGCGATGCATTTTAAACCACATGTGACAGTTTTCTATGCAGACCTGGTCTCTTTCTATTATTCCACTGTCATTACCACTGAGCAACTATATTGTTTTTATTCTTAGAAGAATTGTGGACAGTAATAAACCATAACATCTCTTTATTCCAATTTTTCCTCCAAGATTGCATCACCCACATATTATTTTTCTATATTGACTTTGTCTTTAGTATTGTCAGCTTCTCAGTTAATTAATTCATTAAAAACAGGAGAAGACACTCATACAATTTCTATTTGTTTGTAATCAAATAAACAAACAACTAAATAAACAGCATAACATACATTCAGCAAGCTTATATCCTGCATTCCGCAATGTAATACTTTAACAGTTTCCCTCAACAGAAGAGGTTTTTTTGGGTGTGATAGTAGGAATAAAGAACCATAATGTGATTCTCCCTGTGTTAAAAAAGATGGTTCTTCAAGGGTTCTTCAGTAAAGGCAATGGTTCTATAAAGGCAATGGTTCAAGGTTCTAAAACCTTGATTTCTATATAGAACCATTTTGTGCCTAAATGGTTCTTTGCATGGTGAAATCATTCTTCAGATTGATGGAGAATGTGTTGTATAGGGTTCTATAAAGAATCTTTGTTCTATATGACACCAAAAAGGGTTCTGCTATTGTTACCATGTCAAACTTAGTCACAGTAGAAGTTCTGTATAGAACCGTATACAACAAACTATATATCAATCTGAAGAACGATTTTTACCATGCAAAGAACCAATTTAAGTTCTAAATAGAGCCATTGCCTTACTAAAGAACCCTTGAACAACCATCTTTTTAAGTGTGTAGTCCACTGCATAGCTTATGGCTGAATATAAATGGCTCATGCGACATTAGTTCTATTTGCTGTAGAGCTGTTAGTGCACTTCAAAAAGAGAAGGGAGGAATTTGAGATTCAGCCACAAATGGCTGTGGCTGAATCTCAAATTGCTCCCTTCTCTTTTTAAAGTGCACTAACTCTTCTGTTGAGGGAAACTGTTCAAGTATTACAATGCGGAATGCAGGATATGTGCTTGCTGAATGTATGTTATCCTGTTTATTTAGTTGTTTGTTTATTTGATTACAAACAAATAAAAATTGTATGAGTGTCTTCTCCTGTGATGAATTAATTAACTGAGAAGTTGACAATACTAAAGACAAAGTCAATATAGAAAAATAATATGTGGGTGATGCAATCTTGGAGGAAAAATTGGAATAAAGAGATGTTATGGTTTATTACTGTCCACAATTCTTCTAAGAATAAAAACAATATAGTTGCTCAGTGGTAATGACAGTGGAATAATAGAAAGAGACCAGGTCTGCACAGAAAACTGTCCATGTGGTTTAAAATGCATCACTCTGGTTTTATGGCATCTGTATAGTCTTTTTGAGATCACCTGTGTTACAGTATCAGAGTATATGACCTTCAATATATATATGATTGGCCACATTTTACTTTTTGTGTTTGGGTTTTACTTTTCTGTGTGAATATTCTAATAACATAATCACAGTCATATAGATTTTTCTGTAGATGAAATGCATCTTATTAATAATAAAATAACAATTTCATGAAAAATCTTATAAATAATATAATCTTTATGAATTTAAGCGTGTTCATGGATTTTTCTTTTTTTAATCAGGCACTTTCTTAGAGCCTAAATCAGGATCTCTATAAAACCCCGCCCCGGATCAGGGCGCCGCTCTCTGAGTGCTGCGCGTGCTGTGGGTGAGTGACGGACACGTGGCTACAGATTTAATGTTGACTTTTATTTATGAAACAGTTCAGATTTGATGTAGAGACGTTAAATTTGTGTTTTGTGCACCGACGAAGCTGAAGTCAGCTTCTTGATCTAATTTTCTCGTTTCACCGTGCGGAACTGCTGTACCATTTAAGGTGGAGCGGGAAAATGCATAAGAAGCTGGCTGCACGAGGCGCTTCGCCTATTATAGAACAGCTCAAACGCCTGTAGTCTTTCTGCATCGGCTTTTTGTTCGACTTTTCCGTTCCACCTTAAGTGTACTGGCGCCAGAATGTAACTGCTGCATCATTTAAGGTGGAACGGAAGAATGTCTAAATTGACTGCCATGTTATAGCAAAACTAAATCTGATGTAGTTTGTGCTTCGGCTTTTTGTTGGAATCTTCCCTTCCACCTTAAGCCAGAATGTATCTGCTGTACCATTTAAGGTGGAGCGGGATATGAATAAGAAGCTGGCTGCACTAGGCGCTTCGCATGTTATAGCAACACGAACTGCTGTAGTGTTTGTGTTTCGGCTCCTTGTTCGAATTTTCCGTTCCACCTTAAATGTGCAGGCGCCAGAATGTAGCTAGGGGCCTGGTCAGTTCCCCGAAATGGCCTCTACCTCGTGGCCTAGTGAAGTCTGAGATGGGTTGTAAAGTTTTACAGGTTTAACTCGTGCTTTTTTAATTTTTCTTGTAGGAGAGTAAAAATGGGCCTCCACTGCAGATATTCTGAAAACGGTGAGTTCAAACCTGTCATTTAGATTCCTGTACCTCGTGCTGAACATGTGTGGATGATTCCTAAGACTAGAGTCTCTGATTCCTACATGAAGCTCTTCAGTGTGCTGAACATGTTCTGTTGCTGCTGCTGTGCTTTTAATAGTTAAACTCTATTGAGACATTAAAGGCTGTGTTGCTTTTGCAGGCTTTACAGGGTGGACTGAAGATGGGACATAGCTGCTCGTTTCCCCGAATGGTAAGTGGCTTGAGGCCAATGTTGGGGCATTCAGACCCAGTATCTGGTACATGGACACTTTCATTTGATATGTTTTTTTTTTAACCAAATGCAGGGGATTGTTTAACTAGGTGTTGGTCTGTTTGGTGCTAGACTCCATACAGCCGTAAAGCAGTTCATTTGAAATGAATTGCAAAGAGTAAAGCATTTCTTCTGTGCTTTATTTCTGTTGTCCTGTGACTATTTGTTTAACCTCTTATTGACGGGTATATTTTTTCCATCTGAATTTACATGACCAAATCGTAAGGCAAATTATTCAGTAACTGCATAAAATGAAATTTTTATTTTACTTATTTTAAAAGCTCCCTTCAAATTAACATGTTTTATGATCATAAACACATTGCTATATGCTTACAGTTTACTGCTGAAAGCCAAAAATCTTAGATGCTCTTTGTATTTTTTATAAACAATTTTTTTACAGAGCAGATCACTGAAGAGATGCCATCTGTTTGTAGTTTATAGCCCAGATTTGTGGGTCAACTTTCAGTAGACAAAAAAAAATTCAGCTTCAGGTTTTATTATAAGGGTTTAAAATTACATCACTCATTTATCTGACTGGAAAGAAGACAGTTACAGCTCTCATGACCCCCGCCTTTTGAATGTAGCGTATGAAATAAAGTTCTGAAGAATATGACGAAGTGCATTTTGGAACCACCGGTGGTCCCACAGAGTTGAGAATTAAGTATACAACTTGGAGTTGAAATGTTTCTGAAGTAGAGCTGAGAAGGGGCTACTACTCTACCACAGCAGAATATCACAAGGAAGTTACTTTTTGTGTAGGAATTTTCTAATTGTTGAAGGCACAGTGTGCAGTGTAAGCAGTAGAGCTGCCTGGTGGTGAACTTGCCCGTGAGGCATGATTGTGTGCACATGAATATGCACAGCGTTGCTTTTATGCTTAGTGACTTGTGTTCTTGAGTGATTGAAATGGCAGTATGCATTTAGTACTTTAGATAACTTAATTATCACTGTTGTCGGAACAAAACCTTGTATCTCCAAAATGAGAACTTTACAGAAGGAAAAATGTACTCTACTTTTAATGTAAGTGAATGGAACCAGACTTTTTTCAAAGTAATTTTGGGTCATTTCTTTTGGTCTATTCGTCATGAAATTTACACACAATGTAAAGAACAATGGGTACTTCAGAATTATGTTAAACAAATGATAAAAATGGAGATACAAGGTTTTGTTCCGACAGCAGTGTTATACATATAAACAATTTTAGTCTTGTTTAGGATATGAATATATTCACTTCCATTTGCTGTGAACAGGTTAGGCTCTGCAGTGTTTTCAGCAGTCAGCTTTAATGTATTTTATTTCTTTCAGCAGGGAAGTTACTTGATTTGATGCCATTGCAGCATGGTGCTGTAAGGGAAGCTGAAGTCCTGGATGAGGTGAGGATATCTTTTGTATTGCAAAGTGTTAATTTCCAGCTTGTGTAATGATGATTCATCAGACTAGAGTCTCTGAGAACATGATGTTGTTTAAAGTGCACTGAACACAGCTCTACTACAGTGTTTGTGTAGCTGGAATCAAAGCAGGGTTAATTAACCTTTTCCTTTTATTTGCAGGGTCAGGATGGTGGTGTATACCGTGACTACAGAAGCTCACTCAGTAAGCACTTACCAACTTCTCTAGCTCTCGGTACTTTGAGTGTTAATGATGATTTGCTTTTTCGGTTCAACTGAAATGAAATGAAGTTTTTCTCGCAGCGCACTGAAACACTGAACTATGAATCCAGCTGAAACTCTGCTTTTCCTCAGATGTTTAACTTGTAGATTCCTGTTTTGTAGGATGGAGTTGGCGCTGTGGCGGAGGGGAACGTTTTGCAGAACAAGATCAATTATGAAATGAGTTGTACTGTGTACTGAACTTGTACTGAACAGTTGAATCCAATAAAGCTCTGAATTAAGTTGATTTTTGCTTTCATTTTTCAAATGTTAACTTTTAAATGAGCTATAGAATTTTTTTTTAATGAAGTCTTCATGGTCAAGCATGTATGAGCTAAATATTTTGATCTGGATGATGGTTTGTTTGGAGTATGTTCATCAGTATTTCTAAAGTCCAGTCCTGTGGAGTCCACCTGCTCTGCACAAACTGTAGGACAGGAGTTGGAAGATATTATATTGTGAAAATTGGAAAACCTGCTGGATTCCAAAATGTTTGAAGAGAATATCCAGAAGTACTTTTAGTCCAATCATGAAGTTTTCACACAAATGAAGGTTTTGTTCTAGCTGTGATGTGGACTCTGCAAAATGCATCAATTATTTAAATGTCAGTTTTGTGGTTTGTTTTTTCAGCAGATCAGTTACTTTATACTTTTCCCTCTTGAATAAGTCAGAGGGAAAACTTAATTAGTTAAGCTTGGGATGTTGGAGCAGTGAAGTGGTGCCTGGATCCTGTGTAAAATAGTGGGCTCAAATTCCAAAAACCTACCTAAACAAATCTACAGCTAAATTATCTTCCTAGCAACTTTCGGGTCAGCAGAAAACATCTCGACAGTTCACGTCAACACTGCTGTAAAGCTAGTAATGCAGCGGTACAATAAAACCGTGTTAATCTGGTGGAGGAAGATTCTGGCTACAGGACTTTTATTATGGAAAAGGGACTTTATTATTGCTATGAAGGCTGGTTATATGTTCCTTCACAGTATTTTATCATTAGATCTTTTGGCTAAGTGAGTTTATGACGTTTATGTATCCTGAACATTTGTCGATGTTAGTAGCGCTAATCCATGCCTAATTCCTTCTACGTCCACATTACAGTCAGACAGTGCCTGCTCACAGAAATGAGTCTTTTTTTAATGTATAAAACGTTAAAGCACACAGTAAGAGCAAAGCGAAGGAAATGGACACCAGTTAGCTCATAAATATCTATGTAAAAAATACGTATTTTTTTTTTGCCCCATTTCCCTTTAATGACAGACATCCACATCGTTTTGTATCATTGTTCACTTTGACATTAAAATATACTGAATGATAACGTTAAAAGCAAAAAATAAAAGCATCCAAAATAATAAACTAAAAAAAAATTAACAAAACATTAAAAAAATTTTTTACGTGTTTACAGTTTATCTTTCAACCAGGTTACATGACGTCAGCGTGAAGTGAGCCACAGTTGGGCGAAGTTTGCCGCCGTAGCTTTCAGCTAAAGCAAACTAGCCAAACCGACGCTGCAGGGAGACTCCGGTGATGTGGCTAGATAACAAACTCCGATTTCCAATAATTATGGCTTAATTTAAAAGATTTTATGCCGATGAACAGTGTCGCTGTGAGCTGGAGCGTTGACATTTTCTGAATATTTTAACCGCCGAACCGGTAACTAAAGGTGCTAATTGTGGCTAACTTAACCCGAGACACTGGCGGCGGCAGCTCCAAGGTGGTCGTTGTTATTGTCCTGGATGTGTTCAAAACGGGTATATTGAACCTAAAAGTGAGTGTAGTGGCAGTTTAAATTAATAGTTTAATAGACAATTAGGGCTCGTTTTAGCCGACTATCTAACTACGTGTTTTTACGCTGTTTTTTCTGTTTCTGTTAAGGGCTGAACGGGTGTGTCTCTAATTCGTCTAGGTGAACTTGTTCTTCAGCACAGGTGAATGTGTTGGGCGAAGTTTCTTATTCGTCTTCAGTTCAGACAAAAGATGGTGTTTGCTTGCGACTAGAAGAGGTTTTTGCAAAGATGGTATTGCCTTTATACCGAAAGTGGTCGCTTTCATATTGAGTGAGCACTCAGTAGTTTGTATATGTGAATTTGAGTTCACTTAACCTGTAAGTTAAGTTAGTTCAGGTTTAGTTTTAGGCCGAAAGGTTCTGTTTTCTCCTCTTCAGTTGTGTAAAGTTGAACAAAAAAACCATGACAGCTGTTGTAGGACGTGCGTTGGCTTGGGTGAGCCCAGGAAACTTGTATCGCCCTTGGGGCAGCAGAGCCAAACCAGAAAAATCTGAAAAAGCCTTCCCAAGTGAGGGTCAGCTGAAAAGCAGGTGGAGCCTGTGGGGGTTGACCTCGTGGGTTTGGGGCAGGCAGAAGAATCAAAGTGACCAAAAGACACCGACAGAGGAGTTCTGGGAGGCACAGGAGACGTACAAACCCTTAGAAATAGAAGACCTGAGACCAGAAACGGCGGCTCCACAGAGTGCTCCACGCTGGTGGAGCAGGATGCTTCCTTCTGCTTATTTCTTTTGGCCAAGAGCAGCCAAAGCTGATGGACTCCTGCAGAGAAAGTTCGCCGGCTGGAACGAGACCTTGGAAAGAGACTTTGACACCAAAGATGGAGAGCTTTCAGACTATGGTACCCCTCCACCGTCTCCCACACCTCTTTCAAAGGGGCCATCTCCATTTCAGGTCTTGGCCCGCACGTGGACTGGAGAAATCCTTCCAGAGCACTATGAGATATGCTTCAATTTTCTTCGCCACCTCTTTGACCTGTTTGTGGTTGGATTCCTCTGGACAGTCTCCCCGCCTACCAAGTTGGTTCTTGATGTCCTCGGTGTGCAGGGTGGCCTGAAACTGTGGCTTCATGGCATGGCCATGTTTTTTGTGTCTTCTGTAGGCATGGCTGGTCTGCTGTGGCTGGTTCAGGAGTACCTGCCTCAGTTCGCTTTGGTTTATGGCATCGTTCAAGCCCTGGTCATTTCTGTCAGCCTGCGACAGAGTGTGATCCTGGGAGCGGAGGATGAGGGGATAGATGGAAGGGATAAAGATGAGGAGGAGGAGGAGGAGAAGGATGATGAACAGAATGGAACCAGTTATGGCACCACGGAATAAATGAATGGATGTGCCTTGGAAAAAGTCACTTTTGGGTAGGTGCTTCCCAGTTATTTTGCTTTTGTGCTACTACTAGCATGTTTCTTTTCGATATAGAAGTAAATACATCTGTTCGTTCAGGAGAACTGAAGTGATATAGCATGAAACAATGATTTACAAAGAAATGCTCATAAGAAAAAAGCTATTTTGTGACTGTATTTGCTCTGCTTATGTCATGGTGGATTTCCAAGACACTTCAGTCCTACCGTTCTGTCTAGTCCAGGCCTAACCCATTTGTTTCAGTGTCCTAACCTTTTGCTGCAGGGAGTGCTATTTTAATCCCGCAACCACTGTAAAGCAACTGTGACATTTTCCAAGGGCCATGAAACCAGCCTGAAATGAGGATATGCAGAAGCTTGCTCCTTTAATATCGCTGCTAAGCTATCTAGCTGCTAATTCTTGCTTCAATAGAAAACTGTAATTATTCAAAGTTGAGGGACAATTTAAAAACAGGCTTGTGCTCACTGTATTTCACCAGTGCACCCTCAGCTACACAATATTGGGTGTTATAAAACCACCATTTGATTGTATGAAAAGGTACGTAGTCTTTCTAATAGCTAGAAGTAAAAATTTATATCATTGAATGTCCAACTAAAGAGACAGTCAGCTTGGCCCTGTAAGTTCATGCTGGTAAATAAAGAATTGCAAAAGGTTTATTAGCATCTCAGTATTTGAGTATGATCTGTAGAACCTCCACAAGTTGTGATAAACCATTGTACTGCCATAAAGTGGAATTACACCAGTTTTTCAAAATTTTCTGAAGCATATAATCCAACCATCAAAGTGTAAAGTCATTTAGAGTTGTTGGTGTGAAATGGTTAACTGGAGAAAAACTTACTGTCTGGTTCCTATCAGCCCCACTGTGAACAGAGCATTTCACATCAAACCACTCTGAATGAATTTGTTTACCTTTTAACCATGTAATTATGCAGAAATGTTGAAAATCTGAAATTTTACAACTGCTAAACTGGTTTAAATGGAGTGCATGACTTTTTTTTTTCCTTTTTTTTTTTTTAGTTACACCTTTCTCTGTCTTCTCAGGCTGTCTATGGCATGAGGAGTCCTGTGCCTAGCTGTGATATAGCTACATACTGACCACTTGAAAAGAGCCAACCAGGACTGATTAAGGCTGTACGATGTCACTGAGCATCTGAAGAGGACATTAACTTTACCAGCAATCCTTATTCTCAGTTTAATGTACACATTCTCTACAAAACCCCTAATCTACAAGGCACAACCTTTCCTTTTACCACACTTGTAATCTACTTTATATAAAACTCTTAAGAGAAAAAGTGCAATGGACCAGAAGACGGACGATCTGTCTTCAGCATTACTGCCAGTGTGACTGTGAGATGTTGACATTCACTGGAAAGAAACTCTTCAGCGCGTGAGGAACAGAGAGAGGGTTCCCTGCCGCTACTTTTTCGAGATCGTTTTACCCAAAAACTTCTATGGGAATTTACAGAGCTGTTTGTTTTTATCCTTTTGAAAGAGTTGATTTGGAAGGGAAAGATTACCAGACCTGAATGTGGAATGGTGACTCTATAGGTGTTAGGGTTTCTTATCACCACCAGCTATTTAACTTCAGATGTGTTCTTTTTAATGCGACATTGCCTGACTCAAACATTTACTACACTCCAGTTCCAGTATTTGTCTTTCAGTGTACTTTCCCTCATTTGTGTCATTACAGTAAAGATATGCTGTTTATGCTTGTATTTACCCAGCAAGTCCATAAACATGAAGTTTTATTTCATAAGGGTACTTGGGATCTTTGTGGTCAGTAGGCCTTAGTGCTGGGCGGTATAGATAAATTTCAACATAGCAATGTTTTCCAAATGTATGACACTCTTATGGCGTCAGATGGTATCAATTATTAATGCTAAATTAGCATTAATAACGTTAATGAACCCACACCTCTTGAGTACTGCTACTCTGTCCTTCATAGCTTGGTTGGAGCTGCTCCTAAGTTTACACTAAAGGGAATCTTATACAGTGCTGTAAATGTTAACCAGGCAGAAAACCATGCAAGCCTGTTTCTGCTTGAAAGTCATAACGTGAAAGTGTTTCATAGTTATGACTTAATATCACATAAAAATGCCTTACTATCTCATAATAATCATACTATCTCAGAAATATAATTACTGTCTCATAATTAATATCTCATGAAATTGAGATAGTATCTCACTATGACTTAATATCTCATAATAATGCTTTGCTATCTCGTAATAACAATACTATCACAGAATTATAATGGCTATCTCATAATGTCTCATGAAAACGAGATAGCATCTTACTCTGACTTAATATCTCATAATAATGATACAATCTGCGATTTATAATAGCTATCATTAGTATCTCATGAAAACGAGATGGTATTTCATTATGACTTAATATCTCATAATAGTGCTTGACTATCTCATAATAATGATACTATCTTAATTATTGCTATCTCATAATTAGTATCTCATGAAAACGAGATAGTATCTCATTATGACTTAATATCTCATAACAATGAGTTTCTTATAGTTTTTGATATACTATCTTATGATTATGACCTGCTATCTCATTGTGGCATCTCATATATTAAGTAGTTGGGTGCTAAATCATAAATTAGATACTTTCATTATTGTGAGTTATTGAGTAATAATTATGAGAAACTTTCTTATGAAACTAATTTATTAAATTGTTAAAAAAACATTTTAATATGGTACAAAATAGGCTTCCATATAAAACATTTGCAGAAAGAAAAATAAATGTTTAGTTTTTTGTCTGATTCTACAATCTGAAGCACAGAGGAAGTGGCATGCTTTACAGTTAACTAGGTTTTAACTACGTTACAGTTAAGTTTTAGTTATTAGTACCGCTTAAATGAAATCAGTAGCAAACCAATATACCGGTACAGTTGAAATATCGCCTACCACTAATGATCCTAATGAAATGATAGGCTGTAATCACCTCTGCAAGGCAGCCAGACTTTGACCACCATGTTACACCATATTGTATTAATGCATTATTTTTTGTTATCATTACTGTTGTGTTCTTACGCTACATTTCCTGTTTAATGATTCTGATCTTTGAGTAATTCCTCAAAATCATTAGGTTTGTTTTTTTCTGTGCTTTGATGAGATGAACTGCATGTTTTGTTCTGTTCAAGTTCAGTTGTTTAATCTCACATCATAGCTGTTTTATCTGTTGGTTACCTTTCTCATGTTTTTCTGTACACTCTTTTGGTCACTACGTGCCTCACATTATATGTAATGTGTTGTCAGCGAGGGTTTGTCTTATAGCCACATGTTTCACAGCACTACACACTTTATTGTTTGCAGATAAACATGATTGCTTGGATGTCTGTGCAATTGCTTTCCTCTTTATTACCCTTTTTCTAAGTGTCCACCATGCGTATAGCATTGCATGGTTAGTGGTATGATATTCTAGAGCATCAGAATTTCTATCACAGTAAATATCATTTTTGAAATGCTCTGTTGTCATGTGTACCTCCAATACCTCCTGTGTCTGACACACCTGCACATGTCATAGCATAGTTACTGCTTATTAAGATATTTTCTTTTGTAACTGTGTCACTGCTCAGTGAAATATAATAGTTAAGTGCATAGAAATACTGTGTACACTTGGTCCTGTATGGGACTGGATGGACATGTGATGGGACAGACAATATGAGCCTTCAGTAACACTTTATTCAGAGTGGTCCTTTGTAGATTATTAATAAACTCTTAACAGATTATCAATAACACATTAACAACGTATCAGTGAAGTAGCAGCAGTGAAGCATCTGAATACATTGAGGTAAATATCTTGAAGATGTTTTGTATATGGTTGCTCTCGGAAGAAAACCTTGTATCTCCATTTTGGCCGTTTTTCAGTTTTTGACATAATTTGAAAATGTCTGTTGTTCTTTACATTTTGTGTAAATTTCATGATGAATGGACCGAAAGAAACGGCCCGAAATGACTTGGAAAAAATTCTGGGTTCATTGACTTACATTAAAAGTAAAGTGTGTTTTTTCCTTCTCCTGTAAAGTTACCGTTTTGGAGATATGCGGTTTTCTTCCGACAGTAGCGATACGTATTGTTGATATGTTACATTAAGTATACTTAATATGGCACTTTCATTCAGCAAAACCTAACCCTAAACCTGGCCCTACTCCTAACCCTAATCTTAATCTTAACCCAAAACCTAATCCTAACCCTCACCATGGCCCTAATTCTACTAACACTAACCTCAACCTCAACCCAAAACCTAATCCTAACCCTCACCATGGCCCTAATTCTACTAACACTAACCTCAACCTCAACCCAAAACCTAATCCTAATCCTAACCCTGGCCCTAATGCTAACCCGAACCTTAATCTTAACCCAAAACCTAATCCTAACCCTCATTCTGACCTGAATCTTGACCCAAAACCTAATCCTAACCCTAATTCTACTAAAGCTAACTTCAAACTCAACCCAAAACTTAATCCTAACCCTCACTCTGGCCCTAATCCTAACTTTAATCTTAACCCAAAACCTAATCCTAACCCTCACCCTGGCTCAAATCCTAAAGCAACCAAAACCTAGTCCAGTTAAGTCCAGTTATGGTGTCAGTGTGTCTGTAACAGCTTCTTGATGATGTTGAGATGGTCTGTATTAAACCTGTTCCATGTTCAGTTCCTCTCAGGTTAAACAGCTACAGATCTGAACTTGGTCAACAAATAAAGTGAAAAACAGCTGAATTCAGCAAATTATAAAGAGATTTTATTCGCGCAGTTAATTAAGTCTCTATATAATCCACTGCATGAATTCACTGCTGCTACATCATTGATATGTTGTCGATGTTACTGAGAGTCTGTTGAGTGTTTATTTTGTCTGAAAAGGACCATCAAAATGAAGTGTCACCGAGTCTTCAAACTGTCCTCATACTAAAGACCAACTTCTTAAATAACCACTGTCTGGCACACTGAGCCTGAAATAGTTGCTATAGCTGAAATAAATCTCTTTTTTCTCCGGAGCATCTACGCACGTTGGTGTTGTGTGTCATCATTTCATAACAGATTTGCTGACCTCAGGTCCATCTGGTTGAGTATCCTGTGTGAGGCTGAGAATAAACAAGCTAGAGTTGGTGAAAGAGAGGCTGAAATGGATGCTATCAGTTTAATTCTTGTTGCCGTCCTCAGTGCACCTTTTGCCTAGCAAATGTGTTTTAAACCACTGAGCTACTATTTGAATCAACCACAGAGTATCTGAGCAGCCTTTAAATGCAGGTGTAGAACGGTAGATGAAGAAAGCTTGTTTGAAAAATGATTAAAAAAATGGTTGTGTTTAGTGTTTATTAGTCATTATACACAGGAGGCCCAACAAACAAAATTCATATCATATTTGTATCCTATTTCAGACATATCCACTCTTTACCTTTGTTACAGCTCTTATTCTTTTGCAGATACCTGCTTTCAGTTTTTCAAAGAAATCTGCCGGGATGTTTTTTCCACACCTCCAAAGTTCAGTCTTAGAAGTTGGCTGCATTTTCTGCTTCTCACAATTTAAATAATCCCAATTACAGATTTAGTCTCACTAGTCCATAAAACTTTAATCCACATCTCAGATGTTCAGTTTTGGTGTTTTAGTGCAAAATGCTCTTTCTTGTCCATCTCCTTTTCTCAGGCGTCTTGACAGCTACACATCCTTTCAGACCCATAGCGCTGAGTCGTCTTCTCACAGTGGAAGGATGGACAGAAACACCTGTGGATGTTTTCAGATCTGAAGCAGCTTGATTTTCTCCTCTCTCTCAAAGATGAAAGCTTTAAGTGCTGTTTATCTGATGGGGGCAGTTTTGGTGTTTTGGTGTTTTTCTGACTTTCCAACATTTTTTTCTTTTCTTAAGTTAGGAATCAGTTTTTTAATAATTAAAAATGAAACGAGTTTTGCTGCAGGAACGTATAAAATTATTTTAATATGATGGAAGTAAGCCAAATTTTTGTGTCATAACTAAAAGTGGAATGCTGTAAAAAAAAAAAATGAAGAAATGTTTATTATGTCCAGATTTTAAAATGATCGAGAAAGCTCTCAAGAATAAAGTTATAATAAAACTTACATTCAAAATGCCTCGTATTGGAAAAGTGGAAAATGTTACCTCCTCAAAAACAAACAAAAAAACTGAGATACTGAAACATCAGCAATTACTACTAGTGATTCCAATATTTTGTGTGTGTATGTGTGTGTGTGTGTGTATATATATATATATATATATATATATATATATATATATATATATATATATATATATATAATATTGTTCTTGGAAGAAAAACCTCCAAAATGGTAACTTTACAGGAGAAGGAAAAATCATAATACTTTTAATGTAAGTCAATGGAACCGACTTATTTCCCAAGTCATTTTGAGCCGTTTCTTTTGGTCTGTTCATCATGAAATTTACACACAATGTAAAGAACAAGGCATTTTCAAAATATGTCAAAAACTGAAAAACGACCAAAAATGGAGATACGAGGTTTTCTTCCGACAGCTGATATATTTATCATGTTCAGACAACTCTCAGAAGCATCTGATCTACTCATCAGAGGCTTTTGAGTCCATGCAGTTTGAGAGCACACTGTCATTAAGCCAAAAACAGGACATATCAAACACGATCTTAAAACTTCAAATATTCTACTTTTCATTCAAATTGTTATGCTGACAATAGAATTTGTAATGAAAACCTGTCTGTTAAATTAGTTAGAGATGCAAAAATAAAAGCATTTTTCACTAGTCATCACAGGCTTTTGGCCAAACCCCCCAAAACACCACTGTTTTTAAATTCAGCACCTGAAACTGAATGAAATTTGACGACAACATAGAATTGTACACTTGATCTATTTATTCATGTTAAATCAGCTCTGTTATGACTTTGCTTTGTACATACAAGTGCATTCACATTACAGGAAGCCTCAATACTCTGATCATGTGGTAGAAAGTGGTGGCGTACAGGTGGGTGTTAGGACATTCCTTATAGGAACGAGTTGTAAACAGTTGTAAGTAGGTGTGCAGAACCTCATTGGAAGATTTCGCTGTCTGTTCAGGTCAAAACCACATCTCAGGCCCGTTTTAAAGCTCAACCAAAACGCACATTAATAACCAGCACAACTCCTATTATTACTCCAGCAGATCCCTGGGGGGGGGGCCTTTATATAATACCTTAGGCCTTACATGGGCACCTCTATTCCACTAGTTTTAATCCTTGCATTGCACCAGTAAGATGCAGATGTTGCTCTGAAGTGTGTGGTTTACAACACAAGAGTGAATCTGAAAGTGAAACTGACAGTGATGGTCCACGTGGTCTCCATGTATGTGCTGTAGTTGAAACATTACTGACTGAGTCTCCACCTGAAAGGAATTCTTCAGTTTTTCCACGCACTTTCTATCTGCCACGTGTGTGTAGTATGGTGTGTTGTGCTAAAATGCAGTGGTGTGCAAAAGTTTTGGCACCCCTGGTCAAAGTAAATGTTTTGTTGATTTTGAGTGAAAATAAGCAACATGTTATCTACAGAGAACAGACAATCACTGTTGATCTGCTGAATTTAACGTACAGAAAGAAAAAGTAAATAAATAAAACGTTTCCTATGGAGCCCCGCTGGTGACATCCTGTACAAATAAATGCGTGGCCACGACTTATTAACATGTGGGAACGGGATTCTAATGCGTGGCAATGACTTAGTAAGGTGTGGGAATGAGATCATGCCTTACTAAGTCGTGGCCATGCATTAGGATCTCGTTCCCACGCCTTACTAAGTCGTAGTCACGAATTAATTATTTTGTTCCCACGCCTTACTAAGTCGTGGCCACGCATTATTTTTAATTATAGTTTTACGACATGTTAAACTCTCTAACATTTGCAGGAAAATGCCACATTTAAGTTTGCTCTCTGTAGAGGATGCTTTAAATCAGCAAAACATAATATGACCAGGGGTGCTCAAACTTTTGCATAGGACTGTTCACTCATGCTTCAGCATCTGCCCACAGAGTTGTAGTATAAACCAGTTCAGAGAAGACACAAAGTTTAGAGTAAAAGTTTTCTGCTCCTCCTCTAAGTAGGAGGAGTATAACAATTATAGATTCGGCCAAAATCGGAATCAGCAGACTTTTACTCCAAACACACAATCAGCAATCGGCCAATTTATCTTTTTTCATGTAATTTGCCCAAGGGGTGCTCAAACTTTTGCAGACGACCGTATATACCACAAACTTTTATAACAAGTACAATCTGGGATCAGATCCACCTGCATCAGAATCATAGAGAACTAACATTTATTAACTTTTAAGCAGATACTTTGTGCAGTAGCCCAGCATCACCTGCACATTCTGCTCTTCCAGAGTATAGCAAATACATCATCAAATATCTGTTTGAAATATTAGTCAAATCTAATGTGGGGATGCACAATCACAATCGGCAGATATTTGCTCTGAACATGCGACTGGAGATCAGCCAGTTTTTTATTTTGGCTGATTCGTGGTGCATTTTTGTGAGGTAAATAATGATGATGCTCTATTTGAATGCTGCTACTAGACATGGTCCAAAACGTAATGGGATAATTATACGAGTTATTGTGTTATATGGCCAGCTGACTGGTACACGATGAAGCTTTATTTGATTTATTTTACTGAAATAAGTGACTTTTCATTGAAGAATTTGAAAGGCCAGTTCATTCAAGAGAGTAATGTTATTTATGTTGTGACTTTGGCTAATAAAAGGTGCTGGAAATGTTTTTTTTTATGTGTGTTTCATCCAGTCTACACAGAATGAATACATCATAGAGAAATCAGGATCAATCATATAAATACGCTGGAAACACTGCAACGAATTGTATTATGTCGTTCAATATTAGTCTCTCAATTCTATATACACAAATATTGAACTAAACAGACCGGTGCAAATAGCGCGTATGAACCCACTATAAAAGTATATTGCATTAGATATAAATAAACAAGCCCAGAATGAGGGCAAATCGTCCCTGCTCTAAAAAAGTATCGCTTCATCTTTACCTCAAAATCAAGAGCAGGGAGGAAAAGCACACGCCTCATAAGCACACAGTCATATGCAAATGTTCGAACATCCCTGGTCAAATTACATGTTCTGTTGATGTATAAGTAAAATAAGTTAACACATCCTCTACAGAGAACACTTAAATATGACATTTTTAGTGCATAGTTTTTATATTATTTGCTAAATGTAACTGTAAATATAAATATTGTAATAAAAATAAAAGAATCATTAAAATGTGTCATAACCAACACTCCAAATTTTAGGTTTTATTTTGATTCTATATGTCAAATTCAGCAAATAAACAGTAATTGTGCATTAAAGTCTGCAGAACTGTGTTCTCAGTAGATGATGTGTTCACTTATTTTCATTTAGAAAATCAACAAAATGTTATTTGACTGGGGGCACCCAAACTTTTGCATACAACTGTATATTAGCTTGTGACAAATTATTATAACATACACCGATCAGACATAACATTATGACCACCTCCTTGTTTCTACACTCGTTGTCCATTTTATCAGCTCCACTTACTATATAGGTGCACTTTGTAGTTCTACAGTTACAGACTGTAGTCCATCTGTTTCTCTGTATACTTTGCTAGCCCCCTTTTGCCCTGTTCTTCAGTGGTCAGGACCCCCATGGAACCTCACAGAGCAGGTATTATTTGGGTGGTGGATCATTCTCAGCACTGCAGTAACACTGACGTGGTGGTGGTGGTGTGTAAGTGTGTGTCATGCTGGTACGAGTGGATCAGACACAGCAGACTACAAAGTGCACCTATATAAGTGGAGCTGATAAAATGGACAATGAGCGTAGAAATAAGGAGGTGGTCATAATGTTATGCCTGACCAGTGTACTGTGCTTTTATAACGTCAGTGGAAACACTGCCATTTTAAAACAAGGTGGATTTTCAGTCACCTCTTATTTTTGATGCTTTAAATAAAGACAATGCTGTATTGTTTTGAACTGAATGTTGAATTTTGTAAAACATTACACCCTAATTAAAGCACAATGTGTGTAAACACCCAGAAGGATAAGCGGTTTAGATGATGTATGTATGTATGTATGTATGTATGTATGTATGTGTGTAAACAATTGTCTGTGGTAACCAACTATACTATACAAATGTAGCAGATAGAGATCAAGTGGAAAAACTTTAGACTATTCCTTTAAACTGACCCCCTATGGGGACCCACTCATTTCTAATATAGTCCTAGTGGATGTTTTGGTCCTCTCTCAACAAGACACTGAGAAGAAGAGAGCAAGAGGGATCATCCGTTCTTATTCTCAGTCTCAACGTCATCAAATTCAGAGTTATGATTCCAGATCTTTCTTTTAAAATCACTTTATTATTGACATCATGCTGACATCACTGGAATATTACATCATTTCTCTTGCAGTACTAATCACCTGTGTTGATGTTCATAGTCTTTGCTCCCTTTAAACAGATTTTAACAGATCGCTCATGTACTGATGTGTTTAAATCAATTCCAATCAACACCAAACTGTTTTTCAATCTCAGTCCCCTTTTAACTTTGCTTCTTCTCCTGAAACAGTTGCCATGGTGAAGCTTCCTGCTTGTTCTATGTACATGCACGGTGCCTTTAATCATATCTCGTGATTATACTCTGATTGTCTAAGTAGAACAGAATCAGTAGTGACGCTATTAAATGAGATGACGGATGGAGGAAATTATTCACTGTGCTCATGTGGATGAGTGAAAGTCTCTCGACGTCTTCGTTTACTTTACACTGCGTGAAGTGCATCACGAGAGAAAACACAATTCGTTCACGCACTCAGTAAAAATCACTTAGATCATCTCAAGAGTCATGAAAAAGCACTGCATTACATCTTTAGAAGCTTAAATAATCACATCTTCTGTGTCTACTCCAACAGTAATACTATTTTCAATATTTTCTGAGAAGGTTCCGATCTTCGCTCTTTGGGTTATACAACCTTTATCGAGGTTTCAGACTAACAATTAGGGCTACACAATATATCGTTATTCATTATTGCAGTGTTGGCCTTTTCAATACTGATACTGCAAATGCGCTTTTTGCATCCTGACCAATCACAGATGATCCAGATTAATTTCTGCGGACATTTTGATGAATCAAAGCATTCACATGATCCAACAACACTCAAAAATGGGATCAAAAAGTTTTTTGCATAATGCCACATGCAAAAGACTTGGTTTCTTAAAAAGCCTTTCATGGACAGATCTTTAGAGAACCACTTACATAAATTGGATGTAACCGTAAAGAGCCTTTTTTAAGTTTAAAGAGCCTCCAAATAACGTAAAGGTTCTAGGAAGTACACCTAAATTTGTATAGGGCCTTTAAATTATGTGCAGGTTTTTTAAACATTAGAAAAATGTTCATCATGGTCAAAATCTCTTTTCAATCATGGTTCTTTTGTGGCGTCATTCAAAGAGCTTTTTGTGGCACCTTTTTATTATTTAACTTTTTTTAATAGTAATTAATTTTGGTAGGGATGCAACGATATGGGAAATCAGAGCTGATAACGATATTTAATATTTTTCCAGAGCACATTAGTGCAGTAACCCGGAATCGCCTCAATGTTCTGCGCTTCCAGAGCACATTTACATTTATGGCATTTGGCAGACGCTCTTACCCAGAGTGAGCTTACAATTAGACCATTTTACACAGGCAGGTGAAGGTAATGTTAATAGTCTTGTCCAAGGACTCTTACTGGTATCGTGTAGGGTGCTTGCCCAGGCGAGGTACTGAACCCCAGTCTACAGCGTAGGAGGCAGAGGTGTTACCCACTACACTACACCAACCACAACATTGTTCCCATACATATCTGCAGATATTCATACTTATAAAGTGTAGAAACTGGGACTAGATCGACCTGGATTAGCATAACAGAGACATATGACTCGCTGTAGTGTTACAAATGCAGTAGAACAAATGTAAATATTTTAGCGTAGTAACCCAGCGTCACTTAAATGTGCTGGAGCTCAATAAATACATCAAATATCAGTCTGAAATATTAGTCAAATCTAATCTAGGGATGCATCAGAAATGGCCAAGATTGGAATCGGCTGATTTTTGCTCAAAACTTGTCTGAGCTTGACAATCAGCCACAGTATTTTTTACATTGGCAGGTCTGTGTGGCAAACATTGTGGTAAATAATGCGAGTCAGGTAAGTGCACTTATGTGAATGCTGCTGCTGCACTTGTACCAAAATGACTCATTGTACTAAATAGCCAGTCGCCTCTTGCTTTCAATAAAGCACTTATTTACCTAGCACATTATTTAAACAGGCAACTGATTCTTTATTTAATCATTTTAAGTTTGGTTCATTAAAAGACCAAATTATGCTATTTATATTGTGACTTTGGCTAATGGAAATGTACTACTGTGTTTCATGTGTTCATTTAGCCCACACAGTGTGAATTAACACACTGTGAATAAAAAAAAAATGTTCTTTAAAATCCATTGGTCAATTCAACTGTAAAAAAAATCAGAATAGGAACCAGACATAAGAATGTATGACTGGTGCATCATCTGTCTAATGCGATACTAATTTGATCCCAATATCATCATGCATCCCTACATTCTGGCCAATCTTTAACCTTGTGACATCAAGGTGTTTTACTACACTGCAAGGCCTGCTGCAATCACGATATGCAGCAATATATCCACAACGCCGTATTTTGTCAATATTGTGTAGCCCTACTCGGAACCTTGGTTGGAACCTTGTTCTAACCTTCAGAAGCATCTGCCTGGCAGCCTGACGTTGCGAGACGTTTACTGCAACAGACCATTACACTACACAATCACTGGCTCAAGCTTCGTCAGGGCTCTTAATCCTTTTTACTTGCATTAAAAGAAAAAGAAACTATGTGAGGAGACAGAATTGGTATGATCGTGTGTGAATGTTCAAGACAAATAAATAAAGAACTTTACAAAAAGAAATAAAAATCAACCGTCCTATGTACAACGAAGCCAAAACTTCCATAGCATTCAGATGGCAAGAACTGTCAAGTCTTCCTACTAATCACATTAAAAGATAGCAGAAAAAAAAAAAACAAAACAAAAAACAAAAGTGTCTTCCTGCATTTGCCTACAAGCTTCCGCTCATCAAACCGCTATCTGAAACAGCAATGCGGTGACTGAATTCAATGTGAGTAGCTGGATGTAAAATTATGAACGTGTCGTCCACCCTGCCCTTTACTTTTTCCCCCACCAAATAACTTCCCTCTCACTCCTGATTAGTGAGGGTTTGTACCCCCGGAGCCAGGGGGCGCTGTAGCCCCGCCGCTCCCTCTCTGTCCATGAGCTCTCCCGTGTCCCAGAATGCAGTGTGCGCTGCCGCAGCCTTCTTCGTCCTCTCCCTCGCTCTCCGTGGAGGATTCGCCAAACTGCCGAGGCTTCTCGTAAACGCAACAACCTGATTAACAAGATTGGACGCTCCGTGTTAAGATGAGAGAAAGTGCTGTAAAGCTTTTCACAACATCTGAAACGTTTCTATTTCGGGCATTTGGGCTTTTACGCTTTCAAGTCAGCCACTCTAAGCCCCAAGTCTAGCATTTAAAACTTGACAAAGATTTTCCTGGCTAGATTCACATTTCTTAAAGTGATAATTTGGTGAAAAATCTGATGTCAAACAGACTTACTTATGCAGTTTCTAGTCCAGTAAGCACGCTCTCCATGAGTTACCATGGCAACAACCCCCAGTGCCGCTAAAAACCTCATTTATTGCCAGTAGGCCTGTCACAATTATTACACAATCCCCTGATTGCAGTTATTTAAGTTGATCACAATTGTTTTACACCATTCTAAGCTTTCACAATCTTGTGTTTGTTGCAACAAGCAGAATGTGATCAGTTGAGAGCGATAAGGAGTGTATTAACCACAAAACTGCATTAAATACAGTTTCATGGCCAAATTAAAGATGAAATATTACCATGAATTTGCCGAACTGCTACTGTGTTTAGCTATCCAACATACTTCTATCCATTTATATAGATAACAGTATGTCAACATGTGTCAAACTACATAAGCAGGTCTATTCGAGATTACTTAACAACTCAAGACAGTTTAAGTAAGTTTGCGATCACTTAGACAAGCAGTTTGCATGACGCTAATTGGTGGGATCTAAACATCTGTTATCTGTTTCCTACATCAGCCTCGTAGCTCCAGTGCAAAACTAATGAAGCAAACTTCAGACATTCAGCGTGTCTTGGCTGACTGACAACTGGGGTAAGGGTTAAGGGAGAAAGTGCATTAGTTAGATTTTTCACTGAACTGTCACTTTAAATTCTGATCTGATGTATAAGAAACAAACCATACTCACACTTTGAGGACCTCCTACCCAAATGTTCATTGTCCACCGTGTCACTGGACCACTCAACCTTTTTCTCAGTCTTCCTCTTTCGAAGTTTGATGGTCAAGCTTCTCCCCTCCTACAGAATACAGAAGAGTCATGAAAAAACCCATAAAGACAACTGACCTCAGAGAGTCTTAAAACCAACAGTTTTCTTACTGTGATCAGTAGCCGTGACCTAAAAGGAACACTCCAGCATTTTTCAACAATTTTAGTCAATAATTATGGACAATAGTTCCCCCTCACAAAGCACACTTACTAGAAACCTTGTTAAGCACCTGCCTATTGGCTTATGTTATTACTGAGTTCCTATTCAATGAGATATTTGTAGAGGAGAAATTGTCAGTGGTAATCGACTGTACGCTACAGATGTGGCAGATACAGATTAGGTTAAAAGCCCTGAAGTATTCCCCTAATCCTGTCGACGTAGGTGACAGTCAAGTCCTCACAGAAAAGTCTGTTCACTCAACGCCCTTTTGATAACATCCCCAGGCACTTATTTCTAGTCATAGAGGACCAGGCTCCAATCTCTTTGAATAGGGAGAGACCTAGAAACCCCAAACTGAAAGCCTTAAAGCAGCACTATTTAAAGATTTTGAAAAAATTAAAATTAAAATTAAAGTAGTCAAATATGATATGTGCGCTGCTGCAAGTCGGCCTGCAAAACCTGCAGTAATATTAAAGTCGGGTCCGATTTGGCAGGAGTTTTTCGTCATACATCTTTACATGTTAACGTCACACACACAGGCTCAAAAAGAAGGTCCGGCGTGATGTTTAGGTTAAAATGCAGAATCAACATTATACTGATGAAGTTATGATGACAGATAATTCACTCTGATCTTCAGAAGACACATCTTTCACCAAGTTTTGACGGACTTCTCTTTGAATTCTCTTTCAACATGCTCACAATCATTAGTTCATCCACTCAGAAAAAGGGGTCCAAAGCATAATCCACGTTATAAAATTCTTGTGCACACTGCGCGCATTACATATTTCCACCAGAGAGGTCGCCAAATCCCCAAAGCTTACATAGTGTAGATTTAATATTTCAAAAACTTGAAAATCACTGGTAAAATCTGACAAAAATTACAAAATAATTTGTAGCGCTTGGCTAAAATAACACACAAAACATGTTTTTCCAGAGTGTTCTGGCTACTGCACATGCAGCCATATTTCCCACTTTCCACCACCTTGTTACAAGCATTACAAGCTATCTCATTCATTTTTCAACGAGTGAATGTATTGGCTGTGGCATGTGGGCAAAAAAGTGAAAACAGCAGCTTCAACACTTTTGATTTTGCTAAATCACTGATAAAAGTGGGAGTTTTTTTTTTTTTTACTACAGCTGTTAGGTCTGTTGGCGGAGTGGAGCTGACCACTGAAAATAAGTGGAGATGAAAAATAAAAGCAGCAGATTGTGACTACAACCCTCATTTCACTTCTTATTCTTCGTTTCACATCCTTCGCTTCTTATCCCAGCAATAAAAATGATCAAGGCAAAAAACTGTCTGCTTGCTTACGTCTGAAAAAACAATTCTGCTGACTTAAATTTGGTTACTATTTAAATGCACAAACCTGATTAACTGGCTTTGCGTTACACCATAATGAAAAGACAAGCTAAGGGAGGAGGGGTGGAGGGGTGGTGGTGGTTAATCAAGGCCACACTAAGTAAACAAACATTTAAGCAAATCATGCTATGATGTCCAATTTCCTACTATATTTGTGATTACACTTTATACTTCATTTTCAATAAGGTGAGCAGCCAGTTCATTATTTCTTATCATACTCCAATATAACGGCACTAAATCATATGCAAAGCTTAAAGGAGTCAGACCGTGGCTCAAAAAACAAAGATAGCAAAATCCTTGCTGCCTACTAATGGAATTAAGCCCCTGTTGCAGCAGCAGGGATGAAGAGCCACCCACATAAACAGACCAGGTGTGGGAGGATTCTTCACACAGTGATAGATTATGACAGTCCTGATGAAGGCTAGGCTAGTCACAGGTGAAATGCCTTAAAGAACATCTCTGTGTCTAAAGAAAACACTGTGTGGGGATCAGGGTACAAAAACGCATGTCAGCAGGCCGGGGTCAGTGAAACGCCGCACGCAAAAGATGCTAAATTCTGTGAAATCCATTAAACAGATGAGAAGCCTTGGGATAATAACTGATATTATTGAATATCAAGACTATTTACATAAGAGCTGAAATTATACAGATTATTATTCCTTCATTCTCTTTCACAAACCATGTGATTACTTTTAAACTGCTTTGCCTTTATTTAACAATTTCCTTTACACAACCATCTAATCTGTGGTTAGTTAAAGATGTATAGAGTGCAGATGATTGCACTTAATTATAGGCTACACAAACAGAACATCAACTAATTAACGCCACATAGAAAGACTACAAGGTACATTTTCAGTCTGGCAAAGACAGCTAGAGAAAATGCAAATGAAACAAAGAAACTGGTAAAAAGACACAAGCTTGTTCAGAAGAAGGGTGCCAGACAGACGCCTCCGCTACAGACCAGACCCAGTTTAACAAAACTGAGCTGGATGATGCATCCAAAAATCATAATGTGACATAATTGTGCATTATTTTAATCATTATTTTACAAGGTAAAAAGGGAATTTCACAGATTTTGTCCAAATTTCTTCAGAACTCAATCATTAAGATGTTTGGTTAAACAAAAATAAGTGGTTTGATGTGAAGGGGCTGACTGTAGAGAAAAGAATCAACTCTGATTTCTTTACAGTGGTGGTGATAGGAACCAGGGGTCACAATGTCTACAACATAAATATAGCCACTTTATTGCTATCCAAAACCACCAGTGAACCTACATGTGAGAATTTTATTTGTAATGTTGATAAAATTATGGTTTGAAAAAATGTTTTTTGAGTCCTGCAGGTACAACTCCCCCATTAAAAGATTTTAAAAATATGTTTTCGATTAAGACTATGAGGAAACAATGTCTCAGGCATCAGGTAGTGTATGCATAACTATTTCATGTAATAACTTTCTGTGAGGGAGGCTTCTTCAGATGTGAGGAAGGCTGCTTCGTCTGGTTCCTATCACCATCCGTGTGAACAATTCTGACTCAATAAGTTTCTCTAGAACGAAGCATTTCACATCAAACTACTCTTAATAACAATATTTACATCCTAAACGTTTAATTATAACAGAAAAGTTTGAAAAATCATTGTAACCCCCCTTTTAAAGCAGAGCAAATGTACTGTACAAGCCCCTCACCAATCAAGCCATAACACAGGACATTCAGTCACAATTGAAATTTCCTCTTCTGTAAACGGACGACAGCTTTAACACCGATTATCTAACAGAAATATAGCGGCAAGAGATGCAAGCAGATTCCCTTCTACAGTAATTATAGACCCTTTTTATAAACTCACTAATATCAGCCTAGCAAGCCAACCACTTCCTTTGTGATTACTGGCACTGGATGCACTTACAAGTAAGTCTTCTTAGACTGGTTCAACTCAATCCCAGTGAAACTGTACAGAATCCATACAGCCTTGCAGAACCCATGAGAGAATGTTAATGGGCTCATATCCTGCACTTTACTCGCCTCCCTCACCCTATTTATGTCCCGGAGGTCCACTTCGTTGCTGTCCAAAGAAAAACAAGTATCTCCAAAATAGCAGCTTCACAGGAGAGGGCAAAAACAGTCATACCTTTAAATGTAAGTTAATGTAAAGAGATTTAATACAAAGTGATTTTGGAGCTTTTCTATTGGTCCATTCATCATGAAACTTTCACACAACATAAAGGACAGCTGGTGTGCAGAAAAAGATGCAGAAAAATAAAAATCCACAAAAATGGAGACGCATGGTTTTCTCTGGGCAGCAACGACTTAACATTTGTGAAGTTTAATGTACCAAAAACAGCCATAATTCATTTTACATGACAATTTTCCAGCCTCTGTTTAACCGTTTAAACAGGCTTTGTTACGGTTCTGTCTCAGCTCTGTTCTGATTGGCTGCACTGTATTAAAAAAGCAATCTGAGTCAAAACACTTTATAACATCAGTGTGAATGGGTGGGGCCAAACTGCTGTAGGCTATATAGGATATATGGAAATGTGCTGATCTGTGTAACCACAAAAACAGCAAATTTAAACAGGCTGTTTTTTTTTTAGCTTAGTTTACATATATAGACTGTATAGACTGGGGAGTGAGTGGTACCTTCTGAAAATGTTTACATACTAAACCTAACCCCAAAGATACGGGTCCTTACAGTTATATACAACATCCAACAACATGCCGTCAGCCTGAACCATAAACCACAAACATTTCGGACCAGTCCAGTGTTATTACAATCAGTTACTATTTTACATAACCTTTAATAACAAACAGTGTGCATTGTTGACAATACTTCATTTTAATCTAAATTTTGTTCAGGTTTGAATAGTTGATTATGTGTGGGGGAAAAGTCTCCAGAAATGACACATTAAAATTTATACATCTGCTGGTCATGAAGCCTGTTTAAACATATGTGCAAAATCTACGCACTTAGTCTGACACTAAACTATAACCAAGTTTACATTTTTCATGTTGCATCATTTCCATGAAAAAAAGTAAATAAGGGACAAGACATCTGCCGGTATTCAAAAATAAGCTATGTCAGGATGTTCAATACAGACAACATTGGTCCTTATTTACCAACATCTTGAGTTTTTTTGTAAATGTGTTCTTGAAAAAGGTCCTAAGAAAAAGTCAGATTAATCACGTTTTCTTAAACCGCAGAACTGTTCTCACCTTTGTGCTCTTGAGTGTGTAGATTCTGTTCTTACTCAAGAACAAATCCCAAATAAGAAAACACTGGCGAATGTCAGAATCTTGTTGAAAACTGTGTAAATTTCTACGTAAGAACTGTTGTTGAATGAGGCCCATCATTATTGTGGGACACTCTGAAATACAGTCCTGCATTTTAGCCAGATGAGTGCAGTTTCACCATAGCATTTTTATATATTCGGTTCCACACGGTCCCTGTAGATGGTAAGTCTGGGGTTCCTTGCTTTATTTGATGTATATTGGTCTGAACACGTTCACAGCTCACCGCAACGGCCGCAGCGCGTTTATTTCATTCTACCAAGAAAATCAAAGGTCCACCACTCAGCCCGAGAAAAGACGCAAGTTAATAAAATCTGATGCCCAGGAAGGTCTATAAAACAGAATTACAGGAATTAATGAAGACTGCTGTGTCATTATTCAAAGAGCCATCAGGGAAGATGAAAGCCACGAAATGTACCTCAACATTACTGCTATTTTTTAAGAAAATGACAACGCTACATGTATGCACAAATATTATCTTACACAGGTAGTGTTTTTTTCTTAATACACTGATGTGACATCATAAAATATGATAAATTGCTAAGTAATTACTCTAATACATATTCAATCAGCACATGCCTATAAGACACCCTGTAAAGACACCCAGGGGATATATAAATTTAAGTCGAGGCTGAAATCAGCTTCTAATTCTCCTGCTTTTTGTTCGGATGGTCCCGTCCCACCTTAAATGGAGCAGCAGTTACATTCTGGGTTAGGCGCGGCGCCAGAATATGCTACACCATTTAAGGTGGAACGGGAGAATTCGAACAAGAAGCTTCGGAAATTTAAGCTAAAGTGAAAGATGGTCCAATAGGCCCATCTTTGGGCCTATGGTCCAAAAGGCCCATCAGGGATATGGTCTTAGATTTCAATAATAAATACGGACAGTGTACTGTTGCATTAACAACTTCACAATTAACATGCGATTATGCTATGATACAAAGAGAACAATATTTCAAAAATAAGAGTTAATTCTAAGGAGCTTCTGGGTAAAAGACTCTTCAGTCTGTTGGACCTATCCAGAACTAGGCTTACCTAAGTAACTATGGATTATACAAGAAATAGTATCTGTTATTAGATTTGTTTTATTAATTTTAACAAATAAGAAAACCAGAAAAAAATTAAGTCAGTGCAATTATTGTGTTTTAATGTTACAGGCCAATCGACTGGGCCATAAGTGAACAGGAATATCTGTAGTCTGTGACCGCTGCTACCTACCTGTGTTCAAAAAGGTGAAAAAAGGACAACTTATGGAAAAGCATACCTGCCTAAAACATTCAGACGTGCTCAGAACAGTAAACTAGTCCTGGGACAGTTATACGATTACATACATTCTGTTATATAACAGGTTTAAACACAAGATGGGCAGAATTCACTGTACTGAGAGAACTGCCTTTCTCCATTAGCAGTACGTTACAGTTCCTATAGGGCATTTTTGCTGTATCATTCTACACCCAGTGGAAGCCTATCGGACCATCTTTCACTTCAGCTTAAATTTACGAAGCTTCTTGTTCGAATTCTCCCGTTCCACCTTAAGTGGTGCAGCATATTCTGGCGCCTCGCCTAACCCAGAACGTAACTGCTGCCCCATTTAAGGTGGGACGGGAACATCCGAACAAAAAGCTGGAGAATGAGAAACTTGATTTCAGCCTTGTCTTAAATTTAACAAAAGAACAACAACAAATAAAGCACTGCTGCTATAAAACGCTACTAGAATCTAGAAATTACATGCTTTTTAGCCCAAAAAACCTCCGGTAACCGCCCCAGAGTGAAGTTACAAGAACCTTTAGTCTGTCCCAACCGTTAACGTTAACCCAGAGTGCGGGATGTGAGGGCGGTGATGGTCACCTGCTGAGGCGGCGGAGGAGGCGCGCCCGTCGGCACCGTCTCCGTTATCGTCTCGCTGGACGGACCAGGGACCTCCGCCATGCTCACGGTGGCTCACGAAGCTAACAGCTCCCTCCTGCAAAACAACGGCGAAGCCTCTACAGTCTAGGACGCCCCCCTGGATGAGTCGCCTGGCTATCTTTAGTGCTAAAACGCATATAAACAGTGGAAAAACAGGCCCACAGTGACCGAGAGAGGCGGCGTAGCGCTGGACGGAGATCCGTGAGACGAGCGCTGAGTGCAGGCCGGAGGAAGCAATTCACGGACGGACCAGCTCCTCGCTTTTTGTGCTCACCTAAATACACGTCGGCGGGGGAACGACGTGTACCCAACACACGAAACGCAAGTTAAAACCCGACTAATTTGAAATAGCCTAATTTATTCCGAGTCGGCGGCGTCGTGGATGTTTTTCCCATTTGTGTGTTTCATCAAATGCAGCGTTTAGTGTATAAAATCGTGTAGGAACTGACTGAAGCTCCCAACATGTCTGCACCCTGAAGAGCCACACAGGCTGAAGGTAGGTTAACTCTGACTTTCCCTCTATTTACTGTGTACATTATCTTAAATACCTCGTTTTTACACGATATAATATGATATTTTATTTATATAATATGATATTTTTATTATATACTTTTTTTTGCTCTATTGTTTTGGATCCTTTTTGCTTTCTGTTTATATTGCCTGTTTATTTCACGAAGTTCCACCTTAAATAGTGCAGCAGTTACATTCTGCCACCTCAGGCTGACTGCTGCACCATTTAAGGTGGAACGGGAGCGAACTTCAGCCTCTGTTTCATGTCCTGTGTTTTTCTCTTTTAGTAGTCATTTTGATTGTCTTTGGGTTGTTTGAAAGTGATCTATAAATGAAACGTATCATAAATATTGTTATAAACTAACCATGCCCATCCTGAATCTTTCAAATTCATCCAAGTCATGCATAACCTTCATCACTTTTTGTTTGAACCAAACTTTTTCAGGCATAAAACACTGCTGATATGTGACATTACTTAAATGAATAACTATCTGGTCTTACTGTTTCTTTACCTGCTCTAAAAGTAAAAGGGCTGGTCCTGCATCTTCTCAGTCTGTTAACTGGGGGCATCAGTTCAAAACAACCATCTCATTAATATTGTAAGGGCACACCAGATAGTTACATACATACATACATACATCATCTAAACCGCTTATCCTTCTGGGTCACAGTAGGGTGCTGGAGCCTATCCCAGCTGTCATTGGGCGGAAGGCAGGATACACCCTGGACAGGTCGCCAGTCCATCACAGGGCAGACAGACAGACATACACATTCACACACTCACTCACACCTAGGGGCAATTTTAGCATGTCACCAAGTAGTTAGGAAGGAAAAGATGGTCCAGAACTCTGCTCGCCTTCTCACCTCACTCATGCCCGGTCTAATCATCACATTACACCTGTTATCCAAAATCTCCACTGCCTCCCTGTAATGTACCACATAGGTTTAAAATTTCTCCTGCTCACCTATAAATCCCTCTAACGTCTCACTCCTTTTTACTAGTCAGAGCTTCTTCTCCCCTATAGACCCCCCTACCTTACCATTCTTCTTATCATTTCCCCATCCAGCCTCCACAGTCTCAGTGATCAAGGTTTCTCCAGATTTGATCTCCCCTCTGGAACTCTCTTCACTTACATGTCAGACAGTAAAAGTTCAGTTTTCGTGTTTAAATTAAATCTCAGAACAAAGCTCTTTTCCCTGGCCTACAGTAAACCCCAGACTTACTGTGGAATTCAGTCGTTTTTCTACATTTCTGCATAATCAAATGGTTAAGATGTAAAGAAAGTCATTCAGAGTAGTTTGATGTGGACTGCTCTGTTCTAGAGTCAGAATTGTTCTCTTTGGTGGTGATAGGAACCTGACATCCAAAGCATTTAATGCCTTTAAGAAAATTGTTACATGAAAGAGTTATGAATATGCAGTCTGAGACGTTTTTACAACAGATTTCGAGATAAGCTTTTGGCCTAAAACATACATTTTAAATCCGCTCACAGTGGCAATGTGCATGCAGAGCTTTGTATGGCAATATACCGCCCAAAGGCTGTATGGCAGTATACCACCCAAAGACTGTATGGCAATATACCACCCAAACCCATTTTTCTCAGATTTGCCGCTGTTTTACTATTATCAACATTGCACGTGCAGGTTCACTGGACATTTTGGGCAGTGAATATTTATATTTGTGTTATAGACATTGTGACATTGCTGTCCTGTTACGACCATGGTAAAGAAATCTGACTCATTATGTTTCTTTACAATGTACCATTTTATATCAAACCACCCTGAGTTACTTTGATCATATCTTAGCAATTGAATTATGCAGAAATTTTGAAAACTTGGCAGAATTTCCCTTTAATTAAATGTGTCTATTATTATTATTATTATTATTATTATTATTATTAAAAAGATGGAAAAAAGATTAAACTAAGAGCTCAGAAGTCTGGAAGCACTAATGATGGTCTAACAGACACGGTTGCTTTTTTTGCTTTTGTTTTCTTTCTTTCCTAGATAATTTGTACTTTTTAGAATTTCATCTTTTAACATTTAAGCCCACCTGTTTGCTTTTAGGCGATGTGGCGGCCCACCTGTGGCAGGTCCCTGAGGGCAGGCGGTGGAAGTTTACCCAGAGTGTGGAGCACATGGGGGCGAAGGCTGTGCTCTCCAGCAGCTCAGCCTCCACCTTCCTCCGCCTCCTCTTCCTCCTCACAGCCCTTACATCCTCATAGAACTCAGTCGGAAAAGGCAAAACGGAAAAGAAAGAGAGAAGAGGCCATACTCGATAGTGTAAGTCCATGACATATTACTGTTGACTAATAGAGCATGTTAGTGTTAAATATGAGTCATTTCATTTAAGCTTTTGCATAGTAACACATTGACAGTGAGTGCACTGTTTATCTTGTCCTTTAGAATGTTGATAATGTTGGGATGAAATGGTCAGAAAAAGAGAAGATACTGTACACAGCTGCTGTCTCGCCTGGAGAGAGGAAAGGTACTGCGTTTTGTTCTTATAATGTACATTCATTCAAACTCAAAATATACTGAGGGAGAATCTCAGGGGTGGAAAATACTTGAGTAAATGTACTTCGTTACTATATTATAAATCATTTTGTAAGATTTGTACTTTACTCCCGTATCATTGTAATTTAATAATTGTACTCTTTCTGCATTTCTGCAAGACATTTACTTTTTACTTACTTATATACTTGAGTATGTTTAAATGCAGATACTTTTTTCTTTAACTAAAACAGATTTTGGGCTCCATACATCCAGTTTTAACTGAGGAAGGTTTTGACAAAGTGCTCATACGGTCACATGCAAACGTTTGGTAACCCTGATCAAATTATGTGTTTTATTGATTTAATTTTTTTTTCTAAGTGAAAATAAATTAGCACGTCCTCTGCAGAGAACACACTTCTGAATGTTTTAATGCACAATTTGTTGAATGCAACATAATTGTAAAAACAAATAAAAATTATGACACATTTTATATTTTAGGTATTAGTTTATGTGGCCTGTGCAAAAGTCATGGGAGATTTATTATATGTTTCATTTTTTTCCAATAAGTTAAACTCGGCAAATAAATAGAAATTATGAAAATCAAATAAACAGCTAATTTGACCAGGGTGTTTAAACTTTTGCACGCGACTTTACTTTCACTTAAGAACGGTTTCTGTGTATTTTTTGCACCCCTTGAGAACTCTGATTTACGCTGGTAAAGAAGAAAAAAAAGAAACAAATAAAATAAAAATATCAAATAAAATATCATTGAAACATCAATGTAATAAGTTATAATAACAAATAATAAACTAAAACTTTCTTTGTGGAAAATGTTATGTTTATAAAGAGCAAACGAAACAAGAGAGCCGAGCTTTAGAGTGTGTTGTAAAGTATTCCAGCTTGATGGTGCACAGTAATTAAAACCGGTTCTCCAAGCTCATTAAAAGCCTGATGTACTGGAAGTATAATCTGCTCACAAGAATGTCTTTTGTACAGCCTATTGTCTATTGGCTGATGAGGTCCTTACAAATAAACAGAAGCCAGTTGATTAGTTGTAGACTGTCTGTCCAAAGATATCCAGACTCCTCTTCGATTTACTAAATTTAGCCACTCTGAAGGGAAATTCCACTGATTTTTCAAAATATCTGCATAATTTAGTTGCTGATATATAAACGGTCATTCGGAGTGGTTTGTTGTGAAATTGTTTATTGTAAAGAAAATCAGATTACAATTAAGTCTACAATTAAAATGTAGCTATTTTACTCCAGAAATGAGTGACATGTCATCTACATTTTTTATATGTTATGTTGATCGTGATTAAATTCTTTGGGGACTGTTTTGCCTTACAACAGCCTGTGTGTGCCTCTCCACCATGAATGGTTTAAAAAAATTATGTTTTGGGCCAAAAGCAATCATAAAACAATATTGCAGGTATCAGGTGATATATTCATTACCATTTCACATGACTTTCTGTGAGATGGCTTTTACAGACAATGAACTCTTTGATTGCATCATTTCTATCACGACCACTGTGAAAACTTTTGACTCAGTAAGTTTCACTAGTATGGAGAATTTCACATCAAACCACTGTCACTGACTTTACATCGTAACCATTTAATTATGCAGAAATTTAAAAAAATCAGTGGAATTTCCCTTTTAAGGGTCACCCATTCCAAATGTGCAGAGGAGCTCTGGAGACATGAGCTCAAGGTCTGTGGAGCAGTCAAAATATGTTCTCAGGAGTGTTGGACGTCCATCCAGTACCTTTAGGATGATTTGGAGTGATCCAGAACTGATCATCCAACATCAGTACCTGACCTCACTAATGCTCTTATGGCTGAATGCAATCAAATCATTACAGCAATGTTCAACATCTAGTTTAAAGCCTTCCTAGTAGAGTAAAGGCTGTTACTGCAGCAAAGGAGGAACAAACTCCCCATTAATATCCTTTATTTCAAAAGAAACACTGGTGTCTGCAAACCTTTGGGCATATATTGTACATACAGGTAATACATTGAAACAAGCTGCTCTGTGTTTGAAAATACATGTACTGATATAATTATGACATTGATGTTTAATACATACATACATCATCTAAACCGCTTATCCT